TTTTAGTAGCGTAGTTAAGACTTAATCCACTCAAGGGTAATCTCTCAAGTCAATGACAACTTTGAAGCTCTATTGACGATTTTATTTTTATTTTTCTTTATAAATTTATACATCTTTCTTACAGGCTCACAATCATTAGCCTCATTTTAGATTTTTTAACGTGTTGAAAATATAGTTCGGTATACTAAGTGTTATAGTGTAAATAGTGAGATATTTGAAAGAAAAATTTATCAATACACTTGATGTATCGAACCGTGTTTTTAGCATACGAAAAAATTTCTACACCTTTTCATCCATGAGATGAGATGAGTGTCATAATACATTTGGTGTATCGAATTGTATTTTTGACAATTGTAAATTTGTTAATCACGTAATGAGTATTGTAGACACATCTATTATGTGACAACAAAACTTGTAATGATAATTGCCTTAATTCGTCAATCATGTGATGAACATTGTAGACACATCTATTATGTGACAACAAAACTTGTAATGATAATTGCCTCAATTCGTAAATCATGCAATGATTATTTATAAGTAATAAAAATAATTGTTTATCATTTGGTTTATTAAATTAATTTTTTATAATTGCCTAAATTTTTACATTAATGAGTGGAATTAGTGAAAATGAATTGATCTTTATGATGATAAGGAACATATACGCACCACACTCTCCCCAAAGCGCGTGAGCCGACTCCCACCAAAACATTTCTTACCAAACAAAAGACAGTAAACCAAAGTCTGATCTCATCAAAACTCAGTCCCTCTATTCTTCCCTCCCCCTCTCAATTTTCTCTCATTTACTTGCACTTTCTCAGCAACCAAACAGAAAATAAATCAGAGAGCCCATCAATGGAATCCTCACCCAGGCACCACCAACAGGATAACCCAACTCCATCTTTGCTTCCCTCCCCAAATAGCCACAGCTCCAACAGCAGCACAACCAGCTCCAACAACAACCGTCACCTCAACGGCGGAGCTCCGCCAACAACCCCGATTCCCCATCCTCCTATACCCTACACCAGATCCGAACCCGCCAACCCGTACCCGACCACCTTTGTCCAAGCTGACACCTCCTCTTTTAAACAAGTCGTCCAAATGCTCACCGGCTCCTCCGAAACCGCTAAGCAAGCCTCTTCGAAACCCGCGTCCGACCCGCACCCGAAAACCCACATCCCACCAATCAAATCCACGCCCACAAAGCAACAATCCGGATCCGGTTTCAAGCTCTACGAGCGCCGGAACTCCCTCAAGAACCTTCGGATTAACCCGTTAATCCCAGTCTCCAGCACCGCAGCTTCCGGATTCTCGCCGCGGAATCCCGAGATTTTATCTCCGAGCATCCTCGATTTTCCTGCTCTGGTTCTCAGCCCGGTCACGCCGCTGATACCCGACCCGTTTGACCGGTCCGGGACGGCGAGTTACGGCCCAAATCCAAATGGGTGTTCGAATTTGAACAGGGAGGCGGAAGAGAAGGCGATTAAAGAAAAGGGTTTTTACTTGCACCCGTCGCGGAGCACGACGCCACGGGAATCTGAGCCCCGACTGCTGCCTCTGTTCCCGACGACGTCGCCGAGAGCTGCTTCAGGTTCATCATCTTCTTGAATTAAACGTGATTTTTTTTTCAATTTTTAGTTTTGTGTAATTTTAATGTGTTATTAATGTTGACATTGATTATTATGATGATGAGGGAAGGTAAATTGTAATGGAATATTTGCAGAGAAATGAAGATAGAGCCTTTAATCAATTGAAAATTTTAATGTATGCCTCTCCTTTTTTCTGAGAAATGCTAAGGATCCCTTAAATTATTTTTAACACAATATTTTATAATATTGTTGTATAAATTACGTTAAAGTGTGTAGTGACATAAAGTTTATGGACGACTCATTTTGAGAGTCTCCTCAACATTTATCTTCAAATTTACATCAACTTATTTCCTAATGCTTGTTTGGATGATGAGAAAGTAAAGGAGAAGGGAGAAATTTTCAGTTTTTAGTTTTGTGTTCCAATTTTTATATGGATATTAGGCCAATTGCGTGAAAAAAGTAGAATTTTATTTTAATAAAATCATATATATTTTAAAATTCAATAGAAACTTACATGAAGAGCTTTGGCGGTAAAATAAGGAACATATCAAGTACATTAAGAATCTCTTAACCTAGTGTTGCATTATTGTTTTGAAACACGGAGCAAGAAAGCGGGGAGTAGACACCAAACCACAGAGCTGACGAAGCACACTCGATCTTATTTTTTAATCCCCTCTCGTAAGGAATTAACTTGGCTGCTGAACATTTCAGCAGCCATTCCTACTTACAAGTTACAACCAATCTCGTGTGACACATGTCCAAGTTTTGATTAAAAAAAATCAAAACTTGGACACGTAATTAAAACTTAGACTCGTGTCCAAACGAGATTGGATGTAAGTAAGAGTGGCTGCTGAAATTTCAGCAACCAAGTCTTGTTCCTCTTGTAATATATACGAGAGGAGAATCTTTGCCCTAATTAAATAGCCTAACTATTTGCAAGGAAGGAAAAATATTTAGAATTTGAATTGGGAGTGAATAAGTCAAAATGTGGGGGTGTGAATTAAATTCAATGGAATTATGAATCACCATGCACTGCATGAGAGGTTGAATTATGCTGTTCTGAATTCTGATATGGTCTCTGCCAACTCTATTTTCTTCAATAAATGGGGAAGTAAATAGCAAGATCTAATTTTACTTCCAAAACCTTTTGACATTAATTGTGGCCGTGTGAGAAGAAGTGGAGATTAATAGGAGGATTGATTGAGTAAAGCGTCGTGTTATTTACATTTATTTTTATTTCTCAGTACTTCTGTCAAATTTTGATCGTTGAATCAAACGAATGGAAGAAAATCAAAGGATACAAAAAAAAAAAAGCTTGAATTGTACTTCCTTAGAGTAAAATAGGGTAAAAGAGCATAAGGATAGCTGTCAAAGAAAGAGTAGAAGAATGGGCAAGGAATCTTAAACTCTTTTGTTGTGTTTTCTCAGTGAGATGAAGATGCCAAGCAAACTAGGGCAGCCTGCGTACTGTGTGCACAGTGTCTCATTTACGTTTTTATCAGTTGGTCTATGAAATTGGAGATTTCAATCAAAATGATTTATGAAATAGGAAATTGATCAATTTGGTCTCTAAAAACGACTTCCACAAGTTAATTTGGTCATTCGGTTAACTTTCCGTCACTGTTAGTGTGTTGATTTGGCGTACGAATGAGTTTCACCTATCCAATCATATTTTGCAATTATTTGATCAATTTGTTTGGAGTTCTTTTTTTGTGATCGGTAGCATGAATTAGGCCTTTTTTTTCAGAGGGTTTGAAGTCGAGTGGTTGGTGAGAGAAGAGAAGTGGGTTGAAGAGTTAGTCAGAGGGAGATTTGGGGACCAACTTTATACATTTTCTATTTTAGGGACTATTTTGATTGCAAGGTCCAATTTTATGGACCAATCTTGATTTAAATCCGTTATATTTATGACATGGTTGTTTTTCTCCAAAAAAAAAGATTTGTGTATTCATTTTTTTTTTTACCCTACTTGACATGATTTACTGAAAATTCCTCGCTTCAGAGTTGTTTCATCAACGAAAGAGATATAACCAATAAATATGATACAAATAATTATTTGGAGAAAAACACCCATGTCATGAGATAGTGAAAGTGGAGGAGGAGGAGGAGGAGGAGGAATGCGGGACTTGTGATCAAAACGGGAAAGCCAGAAAACATGGCAAGTGTTGTGCAGGTTAACAAAAGACTGCTTCGCCTCTTGTGCTTTTTGTTTGTTTGCTTTGCTTGCTTTTGCGGGCGATATTTTTGTAGATTGCCTTGTTTTGCACTTTGCTAGTATTGTTGTTGAGGGATTGATTGCGGATTTGAAACTTTCTATGTGCGCACTTTTTTGGAGACTCATTTGGCCTTTCCTCTCTTCAATCAATATCCATCACCTCACTTCAATTTTGGTCAAAAACACTTGTATCTCTTTGTTAATATTATACTAAGGTCTGTGACAGCAACCATGTCATGACGACAATGCCGTGAATATTTTTTAAGATAGAAAATGATTCTGAAAAAATTATAAGTGTTTTCTAAACTGGAAGCGCTTTGTGTATATTGGGCATAAAATATTTAGAAGTAGTTCTAGGTGTCGAAGCACTTAATGGCTTCAACTAGAATCTATTTTTTTTTTGAAAGCACTTCAAGCGTTTCTTAGAAATAACACCCAATAAAAGTTGAGTGTTTTTTTTTTTTTTTTTTTGTATAAAAACGCTCCTAATATATAACGCCTAATAAGTACTTATTATAAAAACTTTTTCAAACGACTCATTGAAAATATTGGACTGGCCAATATTTTGACCTAGATTCAAGCTTGGCCCAATAGATTGGATACTCAACGAGAAGAGTTTGGTTCAATCTAAACTCTAAAGATAGGTTCATCTTCATCCATTGGGTCAATTCATCATATTATTTGTCAACCTAATCTATTTTATATATGTTGTAACATTTAAGTGTATTATAATATATACCACAAGACTAATTGGTTAGATTTGAGATTGGGATCGAGCCAAGCACTACTAAAATGTCAGGCCACCTAGCCGACTCTTAGTTGCATGATGACATCACCATGCACTCTCGATCTCACTACTTTGATTTTAGTTTCATGAACGGCCTTTTATCTTAATCCACAGCTTATTATTGCGTAGCAAATTTACCAACTACAAATCTTATTTTAATAAACGAAAAGATAAGAATTTTGTTGGTATATGTGAGTCTTATTAATTAATCTCACTGTATCGTTCCCTGGGTGTAATAGAGATATATTATAGGAAATTGATTTTTGCTTTTTTCATTTTGTCTGCGCTCATCTCCTCGTATTTTGATTTTATTTGATTTACTCAATCTAAACGCAAAAAATAGAAAAGAAAGTGCAGGAAGAAAATAAAAAGAGGGCAGAATTCATTTTCTTTGTACAACTGCAGCAATGCTATTTCCAGATGCAAGTAGAGGAGAACTAATCCAATGTGGAAAAGCATGCAATACAATTAATTATCAAGGGCTATTGGCCTCATTGGTTCTACGTAATTTGCATGCATGCATGCATGCTATTCCCAAGAACACTGGAAAATTAATAAGCTCCAGAAGAAAAAAATAAAAAAAATAAAAGAAATCCTGATTCCTCATTTTATTTAAAACATACGTACCGAATTATATATATCTTGATTTTCATTTCTTCCTTAATAATAATAATAATAATAGGCATATAAACCAACACATTCACTTAATATTTTTCTTTTAAATTAAAACACCAAAGGAGGAAATTAATTATATAAATCTTACAGGCATAAATGATGATGATGATCATGGTGATGATCGATGAGTGATCCCACTTTCATTCTCTCTTCGCTATATATCCTTGTACGTACGTACCCTTTATGGCCATGTTAATTAACTGGATAAAATCGATCATCGATCAGATTTAGCGTCTGGCGCAGCGGGTGATGTACCGGCAACCGCGCTTGTAAGGGTTAGCCCTCTGCCTTCCTTGGCAGTTGTAGTAAGACCGACCGCGGCGTCCGCATGGAACAGCATTGCGTCTCAGGGCACCATAGCCAATGTACCTCGTGCCGCGGCCTCTGAGTGTCCTACGAGTGCTCTCTGACTCCATCATCATCTCATTCTCCTCTCCAATCAAGTCGCCGACTTTGCTGTTGGCGCTGTCGAGCAACGACTCATCATCGTGATCGCCGAAGTGGCTGAGAGTCCACGAGGCATCGTGGACCTTGGCCGATGACCTAGCCACCATGGCCAAGACCACCATGAGGGTGATCAGGTAGAGCTTGAATCCCATCGTTGGTGTTTGTTTAATTAGGGGTAGGGTACGTACGTACACAAACAAATTAAAAACACAATTTGTTTGTATGGGGAGAAGAAAAGAGAGGGCTTTATTAATTGGCCTCTGTCTCTGCCCTTCCTGACAGAAGGAAGGAAGGACAATGAAGTATATAGAGGAAAATGTCCAGCTGATTCGTTGGGATAAAAAAAAAGGGTCAAATGTAGTTTGTTGGGTTGGTGTTTTTGGTGATTGAACGCATATTTTGGGTGCCCCCTGCCCGTTTCTTTCTCCTCGTTTATCTGTCACATTGTTAATATAGAGAGACAGAATGCTAACATCCGTCGATTATATACAAGTGAACGATTTTTCATCTGTCGATGAACGTGATCTCACATTCATTAACGGCTGAAAATGTTTCAAATACTCACGCGCGACTGACGGTAACATTTTGTATATAGTTGTAGTTTTTGTGTTGCATGTAAATATTGTTTAAACGTATAGGACAACTGTTTTTGTACCCGCCGTTTGCTGTAATTGGAAGATAAATCCAACTTTTTCTCTAAGGTCCTCAATTTTTATGGCTATTTTATGTCGTTGACTGATACGGTTAACCTCTTCTGATTCTATTTTTTATTTATTTATTATCTCTACTAATTAATAAAACACTCATTGTTAACTAAAATCTTATGAAATTATTAGTTTAACCCTCTAATTAAAACATAACATGAATAAGAAATATGTGGCAGAAATGTAATTTCACATAACCAAATTTTGCTGTTTTTTTTTCAAAGTCTCACCTACATGTAATCCTAACATATCTCTAATTAAAAAAAAATAAAAATAAAAACTTCCCACATCCACATTCTCTATCACTCTCTTCCTCTCTCCTTCTATTTCAAAAACAAAAATAAAAAATTTTCTCATACACTTTATCTGTGTCCATATGCTAGTTATTATTATTATTTTGCATTTTGACACCTCTTTGTGAAATATGGCACATTGGGTTTGAGCATGAATGTAAGAATGGGCTTATATATACGTAGCCCATATCATTGTTTGTATTCCGTTTTGCACTAGTCCCAATGTATTCACTAGGATTGGCTCGAGATTGGCACGTTTATTAGAGCAGCTTTCACACTGTATGAGTATATCAACTCTGATACTGCATAGAATCAACATTGGTTCAGGTGAGACTAAATTATGAGAAGCCTTACAGATGTTAGAGGTGTTCAACAGATGGTTTGGTCAAACACTTTCACTAGAATTATTCTCAATCAAAAGAATTAAAACTTAATTGCAACGTAACCTTGCATGTTATATGTTACCATTTGTACTTATTTTTCTCGTGACATAGAAGTATATGTCATGTTATATGTTACAAGTAAGTTTCTCTCAACGTAAGAAAATAAAATGAGGGGTAAAATGATGGCAATTCCTTCCAAATTGCCAATTACTCACTTGAAGATTTCAAAGGTTTTCAAGCCAAGACATGATGATCTTGATTTATGATGGGGGTGGAGTCTGGACCCCTATCAAAATGGGACAATCCAGAACTTACCAGAAAATTTAATTCTTAATCTTCTCTTTTCAACATTTAATCGTAAAAAAAAAAAAAAAAAAAAAAAAACCATCTCATCAAACATTTTAGGTTGAACTTAATGAAAGTAAAATCATAGCTCTTGGCATCGTTTGAAACCATTAATATTCTCATTTTAACATTTTATACTTGGGTTGATTGAACAATTGAACACATTTGTCTTCCCATCGTATCCTCTATTGCTGATGAGCGAGAAATGCTAAAAGGATTGTGTAAACGTATGCAAGAATGCATAAACTTTCGTGTAGAAGTATTTTGCGTCCGGTCAAGTTTTATAAATGATATCTGATAGAAAAAATGGTGATTTTAGATGCGATCCCTATTTATCAACTTTTTTTATTGAAATCTTGTTGGCTTTCAATTTTTTTATTGAAGTTCTTGAAATTAATGCAATAATGCATTTCTATGCAGGTTATTATAATTTTAAATTAAAATTTGATATTTATAGTTACTTATATTAATGAGATTTTAAATAAAATCCAATATTTGTGGGATTAAAAATAGTAAAAAATAAATTATAATTATATAAAAAAGTATAATTTATCTTAATGACATGATTTGTCACTACATAAATTATATTTAAATAAAACCCATGATTTGTTATTACTTATATTATTGACATTTTAAATACAAAAAATTGGTAATTTCATTCGGTACATTTTGCATACAAAAAGTTGGTAACTTTTATACAAAAAAAGTGGTACATTTTATAGAAAAGAATGGTTACATTTTGTATAAAAAAAAACAATGGGTATATTTTATATATATAAAAAACAATTGGTACATTTTAGATTAAAATAAATAAATAGGTCTTACATTAGAAAACGGATACATTTTACATAAAAAAGGTAGTTACAAAAAAAAAAAAAAAAGGGTACATTTTACTTATAACAGAGTGGTACATTTTTAAAGATAAATGGGCACATTATTAGTAAATTATTGGTGCAAATAAAAGGTTTAAAAAATGAGTACAAATAAAAGTTTGAAAAATATGGACACAAAAAGAAATTAATATATTTATAAAAATTAAAACTAAAAAGAAAATCGGTACAATTTTTTTAATAAAAAAAAAAGGGCTGCATATTAAAATGGGTACAAAGTAAAAATAAAAATATACGATACAAAATTAAGCCATACATATATGTATCAAATGTAACGTTTCAAACACTAAATAAATATATTTAAAAATAAAATTTAATTATATTGACATGGAAAATATTTTATTATTGAAATAATTAATGACGTTTATTAAAATCGAGGGATCTTGATAAAAAATTAAAAATGAATAAGATTTTAATCAATAGAGTTGAAAAAAGAATAATGAAAACCTAATTTCTCTTCTAAAAAAAAAAAAAGAAGAAAAACGATGTTTGCACTACCCACACAAAGGTTTCATCAATGACTATGAGATCTTTAATCCCACAATTGCTGAATGAAGATCTACGAGTCCGGATCCTAGGCGGATCGTCTTTGTAAGGATTATAGAGATTCGTGAATCGTATTCGTTTATCGTACATCCTGAGATCAGAAATCATTTTAAATATTTTTATTTAAAAATAAACATAAACAATATTTGATAAAAACTGATTGCATGATGTACGATTAACGGATACGATTTATGAATCTCCAAAATCATCACTAAAAGGATCCGGAGAGGATCCTGTTGGCATTGCTTCCATAAATGTAAATTGTGTTAAGGTTGAAAATATTGATTAAAGGGGTCCTAATCAGCAACCTAACAACAACTATTCGTGGACCCGCTTTGATGATGTGGCCATACATTATCCACGCTCATCAATTCATCATATTTTTTTGATCTATTATAATTACTCCCCTTTTGATTTTTTTGATTTTTCCTTGTTTTTATTCTCCACAGTCAAAGAGGATAATATTAATTAAATTGACGGCTAAGATATCCTTATCACGACGATCTTAACGTCAAAATATGGACTTTCACGTGGGACCAAATAGCCATTTTGCCTTGTGTTCTCCACCATGCGTATATGACCTATTGGTAATGTTTTTAATCTTGAAAACCCACAAAATATAAAGGTTTTTTATATTAGGATTCTATAAAATGTTGAATGAATCAAATTTTAAAATTTAATATTAAATGATTTATTTGTCTTTCTATGCAATGACAATTGTGACCTTATTAGATTTAAAAAAAATAAAAAATTTCTAAATACACCCAAAATCATTTTTAACGTATTATTTATCTTCTTCAACTATCAAAACCCTTATCATCATCCATTGTTGAACAAAATCCTAAAAAATGAAACTACAAAATGTTGATTGAGAAAAATTATTTTCGGCAAATGGAACACAAAATCAATGTTTCGAAAGCTTCACATAAGGTAAGACTTCATATTTTTCATTGTTTTAGTGATTTCGACAACATCGATGATCATTTAATCTTATTTTTGCTGTGTTATTTAAGTTTCTATGTTCATATTCATCTCTTAGGGATCACAGGGATTACATGAAGAATTAAAATTTAAAATTACCACCAAATATTAAAAACACACGCACATGGGTTTTAATTGTGGAATTGAAAACAAACCCACATATGCTTTAAATCCCAACCAGCATCTTTTGTCAAAATTCTAGGCGGCATCTTTTGTTAATCTCATTATTCAAGACTTAGTACTTATGAATCTCATAATTCAAAAGCCATGGCCCCCGAATTGATTGCAGAGTGAGTCAATGACATTTATAATTAAGATGCTTTCTTGCACTATACTACGATGCTTTCTTGCAGATCGATTTGATTCGACCAAAATATGCACAAGAAAATGAAAACAGCAAGGTAGCTTTGAAATTATTATTGAAAGATGTTCAAATAAATCTAAACATTCTTCAAATCATTCAATTTGAAATAATTCAGCAAACTAAAAGTTTAAATGTTTAGATTTAGTCCATGAAAATTACAAATGAGTGTTATAAGATTTGAGAAATAAGGGGTGTATCGAAAATATGGGGTGTGAGGGTATTATGAGGAAGTATGTGGGGTGTCTTAAAATAATTTTTAATTGAAAAAGAAAATATGGAGTGTATTAAGTATGTGGGGTTCATTCAACAATTTGTGATGTGTTAATATAATAAGCCAATATAAAAGAATAATGTTAGAGAGAGACTAAATTGTTAGACACAATTTGCAAACTAAATGATATGTCGTTAATAGGAATGAGTACGTTTATCAACGTTTAAGTCATAATCCACCTATCAACTTCCATATCATTTAGTTTACAAAATTTTATCTATATATTTAGTCTTACTAGTATTACCCAATATAAAAACACCCTTAAATATTACAATTCGAATTAAATATAGTAAACGACATAAATACGTTTGGGCTTGTTGTTTAACAAGTCTCACAAATCTTGCCTTTCCTTGGAATTCATATAGTATGGGCCCAAAACAGACATGCCAAATCAAAGCTACGTCAATCCATACAACACGAAAAATCTAAAACATCAATTTTCAGAATATAACAACGACAAATAACCTATTAACACGTGAATTATCAATTCTTCAATTGCTTTTTTTAATAGATCATTGCTTCCTTCTTTTTATTTTATTAGCATTAACATTGCGTCTCACAACAATGTATCATGTTAATGCTAAGAACAAGTTGTCATCCTCTCTGTCTAATCCGATGAAATTGATGCTTGGACACGAATCACATGATGACAAGTCATTTTAATTATTCCCCATTTTCTAACATTGGATAATCAATTATTTTATTCAAACATGGACTAAAGAATTTATTTATTTTTTATTTTTTGGAAACTACGTAGACTAAAGAATTTGGAAAAATGAAACGACAAATAAAAGCACTTTTGTCTGTTTCACAACTGAAAGACAAATAAGGGAAGACCCCCATGATTCTCTCAAGTCTCCCCTTCCATTTGTGTGCTTTTCTGCTTGGTGGGTTTCTGCAGCATCAGTTAAGGACTCAAACTTTGGCTGCTGAGTTTATTAACTGTAGAGTTTGTTTATGCTCTCAGGGGGACTTACTTTTAGCTCCCTTGTAAAATTCTCTTCCTTTTCAACATGTTCAGATGAAAAAAATTGTTTCTTGATGTTGTTTTGCTGAATTTTACTAGGTTTTTTCCTTTCCATCCGTAATTTCTATATTTGTGTTCCATTTGCTGCTTTACTCTGAATTTGATATGGGTTTCTTCTGACTTTTTTTGTATAATTAAATGTATTTATAATCTAATTAACCAATTAAACATGATTAAAGAAGTTGAGGCCCTTGAGGGTAGAGTTTAGGTTTGAAAGACTCTTGCTTTTAGGACAGTTTCCACATTCATTTGTTTGGATGATGATCATTATCTGCTGGGTGGCTAAAACCCTAAAAGTCAATAGCTGCCTACTTTCTTTCCTTTTGCTTTGTGGAATTTTTGATCTTTGAGAAATTTAGTGGATTTCAGCTTCAACTTTTCACTACTTATCATATTAGGAATCCATCCCTCCCTAAATTTCCACGAAATTGGTTAGTGGTTTTGGGTTTCGGTTCAGTTTAGGGTTTTTATTCCCACCTTTAGTTGTCCAATTATGCTCAAGATATCGTTAAAATGCGATTTTCTTCGCAATCTGGTACTGCCTGTGGCAGATGCTCCTCATACTTTGTTTTTGCACTAATTTATGATGTTTTCTAACAGATGAGTTATGCCATAAGCATATTGCAGCTTGCACAAAGGAGATAAAGAACACCTGAAGAAGTTTTTCCAGTTAAACATGAAGGCGAATTCACCTTTGTCCCTCAAGGATCAGAGAGAAAGACAGAAGTTTTTGATTGAGGTAAATTCTGCAGCTACATTTGGTACCGCTTAATACTAACTCAAAGATCTCAGATAATTGTTGTACAATTTTTCTTTGTGAGTCTCGAAAATGTTGAAACATTTGTCATCTCAGGTTGCAATCAGAGAAAACCAGTTGTGGGGTATGGTCCATTCCAAAGGTCTTTTGAACTCTGAGGTTCAGGACTTGTACCGCAAAGTGCGATCTAGTTATGAGAATCTCATACTGAGTGATTGTGAGCAGTTGGACCTTCAAGACATCGAGTATTCTTTGTGGAAGCTTCACTACAAGCATATTGATGAGTTTCGCAAAAGAATAAAGGGAAGTTCAGTGAATGCAGAAAGCAAAAATAAGGTGGTGCTACGAAATGATATTCATATAGAAGGGTTTAAAGTCTTTCTATCCGAAGCAATTGAATTTTACCAGAATGTGACTGTGAAATTAGGAAAATGTAAGAGTCTCCCAGAAGAGTACGTGATAAATAGAAAGGAAGGCGACCTTACTTTTGCAGAACAGGAAAAGATGCAGAAGTGCCAGTTTTTGTGCCATCGCTTCTTGGTATGTCTCGGGGATCTGGCTAGGTACAGAGAACAATATGAAAAGCCTGATGTGCAAACCCGAAATTGGTCAGTTGCGGCCACTCACTACTTGGAAGCGGCAGCAACTTGGTCAGATAGTGGAAACCCCCACAATCAGGTAGATTACTGCTTCCCTGATGGTTACTATTACAAGAACTAAATTTCTTTATGAGATTTGCATGTGTTATCTTGAACAATACTGACTTGAAAGTTACATGTGAGTTTGTTTGCAGTTGGCTGTATTGGCAATATATATTGGTGATGAATTACTCGCTTTGTACCATTGTATAAGAAGTTTAGCTGTTAAAGAACCTTTCCCTGACGCCCAAGATAACCTCATCCTACTGTTTGAAAGGGTAAAATTGGACAAATTACAAGAACATCTATTGTTTTTAGTCATTATATTCATATTATCTTCTGATACTCATACTTGGGCGGTTCTCATTTGCTCCTTACAATCTTGCAGAGCAGGTCATCTCATGTATATTCTCTTTCAAGTGAGGTCCGCTTTAATTTCTTAAACCCATCTGAAAGAAGCGGTGGTCAGACTTTTTCACAGTCGAGCGATGATAATATGGTGAAAGCTGAGAATGTTTGCTTCATGGATACAAAGTTATGGTCTCTTATTATTGGAACGCTAAGTTTCTTTCACATTAAATCAAGGTACTCACTTAACCACTATGGAGTGATGCTACATTTAGCTGTTGAATTTAGGTGGTGCATCTTATGTTGAATTGTGACTGTCCACATTTTGTTGTTACAATGCTACTTTATCTATCCTTACATAATCTCTTAACTTGTCATGTACTTCTATTCGGTTTCCCAATCCGTAGCAGCTAAGATTGTAAAAGCGAAAAGATTTTTAACTTGAGCTTACATTGTTACTTAGTTAAGTTGTTAACTTGCTTCACATTGCTTGAGTGAAGTGATGTTTCGATGAAGATTGTAATCGAGACCATGTAATGTTGAATCATTGAATCTATTTGCATTTGATCTATGCTCGTTTTTCCAATTCTTCATTTATGTATCAGATTCTATGTTGTTTGAGTTCTGATGTTCTCTGCGGAACTTTTTATGTGAGCAGTGTAGATGAATTCCCCTGTGCTTTTGCATCTACTATGCGAGAGTTGGATGCACTGATTGCACTAGATGATACAGAGCTAAAAGCCACATTGGAGTCATATCAACGTATGGATTCGGTTAGAAGAGGCCCATTTCGAGCACTCCAAGTTGTTTCTGTACTAATCTTTACCGTACAGAATCTAATCAAGACCCCTGAAATAAAAGAATCAACAGACAAAATTGACATCCAGCAAAAAGAGCTGACACAGTTGGCACTGAATGCAGCATTCATTTTCATGGGGCGCTTTGTTGAAAGATGTTCAGAGGCTGGTCCAGTAGAGACTTGCCCCCTTCTACCAGCTGTGCTTGTTTTTGTGGAGTGGCTAGTCGTCGTGCTGAGTGGAGCAGAAACGTATGGGGTCGATGAAAAAAGCAGAAGTGCGATGTCTTACTTTTTTGGTGCATTTGTTGATCTTCTGAAGCAATTCAACCTCAGCGAGGATGAGGCCAAGTGTCCAGAAGGTACTCCTTTGTGGGAAGACTATGAGCTGAGGGGATTTGCTCCGGTAGCTTGTGTTCACGCATCACTAGATTTCTTGTATAATCGGGAACATATAGACAATTATGACAGCGGAATTGATTGTCGTGCTCAGAGAATCATCAAGGCTGCAATGAAAATTGCAGGACAGATCAACTGGTTCTCAAAAGTGGATTGTCTATGACAAATCTCAAAGAAAATTTTCCAAAGCCGATATGGCAGAGTCAAATGAATATGCTGACGGGAAAGAACTAGGAGGACTTGAGTCCAAGAATTCTGATGGTAAACTGAAAGTGCCTAGTCAGCATATCCACGAAGCGCTGAAAAAATGCGAGAAACAGATGATTGGGGAAAACCCAAGTTCGACCAGACAATCTGTTGACACGGAAGAGGAAGAGGTTATTCTCTTCAGGCCTCTTACAAGACATAACTCAGCACCACTCAAGATTTCCTCTCCTTTAAAGGATCCTAACTCTACGAAAGATATGGCAGATCAAAGTGTACCTTCTGATGAGTGCTTGCGCCGTGCCACATCACTTCTTATAGCGCAAAACAAGGCAAAGACTGATCCTTTATCTTCTCATGTCAACATCGCTAATTTTTGGCGCAACATGCCATTTAATCAGCAGGAGCCTTCTGTGAAGGAACAGCCACCAATAACCGCGGGGCCTCCCTCTCTTAATGCTTGGGTCCTGGACGGAGGAAATTTGAACAGTAATAAGGACAAAAGCACAAGCGGTATTAGTAAATGTGGCTCGAGATTGAGCCCCATTGAGGAAATAGCTTCGGAATTTGTGGATGTTCTGTCCATCAGTGAAAATGAATATTCAATCAGCAGTCACGAAATTTCGAGCACTCAATCCTCTTCCTCTACTTATACAGCTCCTCTGCCTTCTGCTCCTTTGTTGCCAGATGACGCTGTTTGGTTTAATGGTGGAACCGAATCTAGTTTCATCGACTGCAAAAGCTCCGCAGGGATCAGCACTGACCGACAATCTGTGTGACGCTGATGCGACCCATTCACAGGCAGGCAGCTATGCAAACTGGACTGCAACTCAAGGGCTACCAGATTATAGTTCCGGCATTCCAAATTTTGTGGATAAGTCACCCGCCTTGGCATCAAATGACATCATCTGAATGGCTGCGTCAGTACAGAGAAAGTCTCAACCTTGGCCATAATGCTTGGCCAAATTCTCTTCATCCGCCCAGGAACCTCGGAAACTTGTCCGATTATGATGCTACCAGGTTAAATCATTTCAACCGATGGGGACATCACGTGGCTTCTAATCCGCCAATGTGTACAAACAACCCTCCGCCATTGGTTCCTCCTTTTCCTCTAGATTATGGTGATGCAGATGGGCAAAGAAGGGAGAAGCTTCTTCCTGGCTATCAAAGAACAAGCCCCTACGGGTGTGGCGCTGTGAGGGATGTAAGAAACGAGCAGCGGCCGCTTCTGCAGTACCTTAAGGAGTTAGAAAGGAAAGTGCAGCATGATCCCACTTTCAGAGGTCCTAGTTATTTGGACAATTGAGATATATTTCACATGTAGAGTTGATAGTCGCAAAACATGCACGTCATTGGCTGCATTTTTGTATATATGTAAGCAGATGAAGTTGTTGTGAAATCCTGCAGTCCACAATGTGATGAATTGTGAAAATGCATGTCTAATATGTTGTATCGCTAATTGGACTTGAGCCGATAGATCGATGCCTAAGCAAAGAGCCTGCATACACATACAAACCAAATGGTAGTGCCATTAACATGGTGTCACATTTTCTAACCCGAGCATCATTACGCATAAGAACCTGCCTATGAAAGTGGAACAACAGCGGTAAATGGCTTTTAATACCCTCAAGGCTGAGAAGTTGAAGGAGAAATCCCCCGAGCAAGCAGGGGCACGGCAAAGCTCATTGCAGCATGCAACCCTACATAAGTTCAATACGACCGAAATTGCCCCAATTCTTCATCGTATTGAACAAGACCGAAATTAATGTAATTGACGTATTTTTACCGTACATAAGTTTTAATCAAAATTGCTCAGTTTTTATCGTTATTTGGAGATCGTCTTACAAAAATTCCATCAAATTGCATGTCACTAAAAAAAAAGTTTTTTGAAAATATGTCACTAAAAATAAATTTCCAATTGTAACAAGTGTGAGTTAGAAAATCCCTTAATCAGGAGTGAGGTTCTAAGGATGCATCCAAGTAAAAGAGAAAATTTTCAATTTGCTGAGAATACGGCCCAATACACTAAATGTTATAATACAATTTATTGTAAATTTTTTTTTTATGTTTTAACTAGTATCGAGCCGTGCGCCTGACATACGAAAAATCTCTCCAAGTAAAGGTCAAAATTCAAACTTTCAAAGCAAAGAAAAATTCAGTACAAAAATAAATAAATAAATAAATAAAGAACAATATTTGGCTACTCAAAGATGAGTAAGAACACCTACTCAAAACTCTTTATGTTTTAATCACAGAACTTCGTGCTTGTGATGAGAACGGTTCATACTATGAATCACACTTTGCAAAAAATAAATTAAAACTAAGATCGTTTAGTCAATCTATTATAGTAAATACATAGGTGGTTCATAATACTTTTACCAATACTGTTCATTTGTTTTTAAACAATTTGATTACTAAACGATCTTAGTTTTAACTTATTTTTTGTCTTTGTAAGATGATTTATAATATAAACGATTCTGATTATAAACATGAAGTTTTATAAATTAAGGACGAACAATTTTGAAATTTTTTGAATGGAAGTTCCTATAGCTAAATATTGTTATTAAATAAAATGTTTTCCTCCACCCTCAGGTTAACTACCAGTCAAGTCACTGCTCCAGCTTTCCCACACCTCCCCTGCACTCAGATCCTCTCCGCTCGCCAATCGCAGATCCTAACCGCCGCACGATGGCCAAAAAGCAACCAGAACCCGAACAAATTTCGCCGGCGAACGCAGTCTTTCTCGGCGCTCTAGCTCCCGGCGTTAACGTACGCACACTTTCCCCCTGCTTTCTGTATTTCCTACGATTACGAACAGTTCTTGCCAAAAATCAAAAGGTTTAATCGAAATTTTGCTTCTTTATTTTTTGGGTGATTGAATTTTGCAGGGTCCGACATGGACGACGCTGAGATTTGCGTTTGTGATGCTGGGTGTGTGCCTTGCTGTGATGCTGGGTTTGGCATTCTCTTCCAGTGACTCTTGGTTGGTGTTTCACGTTGCGTTCCTCGTACTCATCACTGCTACCCTCTTCCTGCTTCTTAGCTGGTAGGTTCATTGAATTTGTATGTCCAGTAAAATACTCACAATTTGTTTTCCCCTTATAAAGTTTTGCAGCTTGGTAAATCTGGATGTGGGTTTTTGTGTGTGGTTTCTCTTTTGATTAATTTTTATGTTTTTCTGGATCAATATGTTATGTATTTTGATTAATTTATTGCCTTTGTGTTATTGGATATGTAATGGAATTAGCATTTGTTGTTGATAACTGTTTGAAAGGGTATAACACGGTTTTGACTCGAAATCACTTTTAGTCACCGTGATTTCAATTTTACCGTCAGCGTGCTTGTGCTCGTTACGCTTTAAGTCCAATTGTTAACTTATGTGTATGCATATAGCTCACATTGCAACCTATTCTTTCTGTTTGATGAGTTGTGCTGCTGTTTGAACATATTTTAGTTACTTTGTGAATACCCCAGCAATGGATTTGTGCTTGTTGATCAGTCAACTGCGAATAAACAATAGTGGTTACCATGTTATGTTATTAGATTGCGCATTGCGCTCCTTGATTTGGAGGCATAGTTAGTAATTTAGTTGTAATACACCGAAGGGAAAAGCTTGCTTGATGTATGGGCTGGTACTCTCTCATATCTTTAGCCTTTACAGTTTACACTTGTAATATCATTAACCTACGTCTATTTATAAGAATTTCAGTAGTCATTACCATGGATTGGGGCCGGCTGAATATCCCACCTATTGTCTGTTCACGATTATGTGTTTTCTATTATATATGCAGAAACAGATGTTGTATCTTTGTTGTTGGATGAAGAAAATATAGCATAGTGTGTGAAAATGTGAAGGAAATGTTGTCTATGGAGTAGGTTCTAGCTTGTCCAACCTTTTGTCTACCTGAGCCCGGCGCTTAAATTTCAATGGTTCTCAACAACCGGCAGAAAGATTGTTGTGAGGGAGGTTTGAGACGACTAAATTATATTTTTGGAGCATGGGATGTGAACCATGGGAACTTGTTATACATATCCCTATGGAATTAGTGGAAAAGCTAAGGGTACTGTGATCAACAATAACAGTGTTATTTGTCGTTTCAAAGTGAGCACAGGGATAAATCTTGCAGACATTGCTTTTATCAATTGTACGACCTACGACTGATTTGATATATGACTTATTTAATCTGGAAGGTGGAGATACATTCAGCCTTGCAAGTTGGCTATTGCCAGTGTTTGGGTGTTTCATTCTGTTTATGATTAACCTCAACTGTTTAAGCAAATTAGCCATTGATGGAAAGCTTCTAATTACGTGAATTTAGACAGTAGAAGAAAGAGATAAGAAAACCCGAGTGATTCTTGATTTTGTCATTTTTGTTGAAATGCATTGGTGCGGAGGATAAAATTTGCACAAATAGCTGAAATTTATTATTTCATGACTCCTTGATGATTTGTGGATTGATTTTATGCTGCAGGTTTCTTGCACAGACTGGTTTGGTTTCTGTTGAACATCAAATCCGTGAGATAGGCTTAGTGCCAAATGATCAACAGGAGAGTAGAGAAGGTGTCGTGAAAAACGCGGAGAAATCCCTTTAAAAGGGCAACTTATACTTCAATTAAAGACAATTACATTTGTGATACAATCCTTTTGAGAGGCATGAGAAGACACAACAAGGTTGTCAAAACAGCAAGCAGGTTGCTGTAGAGTTCTGCACCGTTTCATGAGAAACATCGACGAGAGGAGTCGCATCTTTCAGTCAGTATGGGCCTCTTTCTCCTTGTGTTTGCTCCTTTTGGGTTTGATGAAGCAGAAACACGAGCAACACGGGAACTGAAGCAAAAACTTCATCTCTCTGACGGTGTGGGGATCAGATTGTCTGGAGATTGGTATATATACCGTACTCCGGCGTTGGCTTTCCTTTATTCCTATAAAGATGCTTTTCCTTTTCCTTTCTGTTCTTATTTTTTCAAGATGCCTAGCTTTGCTTCTCCATTTGTGTCATCATTGCCCTTTGGTGTAGTATGCTTCTGGTATTCTCCTTGCAATTTCTTCCTTGTGTGAGGAAAGGAAAGAATATGTGAGGCATATAAGCAACGAATGGAAACAAATTATAGTGGAATTTAATGAAGTAGGTTGATCTTTCTGGTGGCTTCTTGGAGAAAGTCATGCATACAGCGACGTGATGTTACGGTTTTACTAGTATTTACTAGAAGATCTATTTTCTCTCTCTTCTTTTTTTTTTTTTTTTTTTTTTTTTTTTTAAATAGAATAAAATAAAATTTCACCGAGTTATTTTCCAAGTGTTGAGCACACTCAAGGAGCCTGCTAAACACGTTGAGCGCAACTTGAAGGGTGCATTTTTGCTCACCACTTCTCAAGTGGTGATAATGCTCATCACCCTATTTCTGCACTACACAGATCTTGAAATTTAAATTTATCTAACTGTAATAAATAAGATGGTGAACATAAATATTTCCCAACTCGAGCTTAGGCATTGAGCGTGGAGAAGAAGCACCTTTCCCACCAGGCCACAATGTTTGGTGGTAGAAGATATCCATTTTATTGCTTTAATTTGGCATCCTATTCTAGTCTTTTCATTTTGTATTTTATACAAACGATATTTTACACTAATTAAATTATGTGAAAAAAAATATCAAATGGTGATCGAATGTTGTTTATGAGATTTGAATTTAGAACCGTTTTTGTCAAGACCTAACCTAATTGTCATACGGGCATACATTTTTTTTGCTTTCCACACACTCTTCTCAATTTCCGGCCATCGGAGAGAATGAATTAAAGAAGATCAAAGAACAAAAATTAACAAGAAGTGTATGAAAAGTAAAAATAGATGTGTGAATAGCATCACGGATCATATCTAGTAAAACGTGAAATGTCATTAATCTATTGTATATGATATGGTCAAAGTTAATAGTGGTTGCCACATTTGGGCATTCATTGAATCCTCTGCTTCCATTCACAACTCAATTTTGGTAAACACATTGATTTATGATCCATTTAGTAATGACTTAGGTTGGCAAAGTTCGACCTTGAATGGGATGCACCTTCGCCCCGGAGTCCGTACAGTTTTCATGTATCGGTAAACTTGCTATTAAGAGTATGGCATGCCTCACATAACTATGGAGCTTTTACTCGCACCGTCCAATCCAATTGACTTAGCAAAATATTTGCACTTAATGACTAGTGTTTGGCAAAAAGGGGAAATTCTGGGTGAGGTTGGCCGTGCCACTTCACTCTATGATCAAACAAGTAAAATTCTCACCAATTCCTCTTGCATTTCGGCCTCACTGAGCCCCTGTCGATCAAGCGATTCTTTTGTCCAATGGTCAGACAACGGCCAAAGAGACAGTCGTGGGAGTTGGGGCCAAAGAAGAAGTTTGGAGGGCCTTAAAATAGGGGCGGGGAGGAGGGTGGTTTGGGTGGGGCAGGCCTGGTTTCTTGGGTGTGGTGTCGTATTGCCTACAGGATCTAACGGCCGAACCCTAAAATTTCTCTTTTTGGTCTCACTGAATGAGTAATTTGGCGGGATAATCAATGTACTACGCACACTTATATCAAATAATTTATCTTCAATGTTAAAGATTGGCAACTCAAATGGTTAATAACAACGACTTCCTAGTTCCCACACGAAGTCACAATTCTCCTCTACTATTACGGTGTGTATCAAGCAAAAATAGTGTTTATCACCTTACATAGAAAATGCAAGGAGGGAATCACAATATGAATTTTTTTTTCCTTTTGATTTTCTTATGATTCTATGAATACAAAAGAAGGAAGTTTGATGGACCTCAAAATCAAGGCGGAGAGGGGGAGGGGGAGGGGGAGGGGGAGGGGGGGGGGTGTGTGTGGGGGTGTTGGGGACCGAGTCTGGTTTATTGGGTGTCGTACTACTGATGAGGTCTAACAGTCAAACCGTAAAACTTGGGCAAGGTTGATTTCCTGGGTGTGGTGTCGTACTATTGACGGGGTCTAACAGTCGAACCCTAAAATTTCTCTTTTTGATCTCACCAAACGAATAATTTGACGGGATAATTAATGTAGTACACACGCTTAAATCAAATAATTTATATTCAACGTTATAAACTGGCAACTCAAATGGTTAATAACAACGACTTCCTCCTACATGAAATTACAATTCTCCTCTACTATTATGGTTTGTATCAAGCAAAAATAGCGTTTGTCACCTTACATAGAAAATGCAAAAAGGCAATCACAATATGAAATTTTTTTCCACTTGATTTTCTTATGATTATGTGAATAACAAAAGAAGGAGTTTGGTGGGCCTTAAAATCGAGGCGGAGAGGAGGTGGGTGGGTGGCCGAGGCTAGTTTCTTGAGTGTGGTGTTGTATTATTGACAGGGGCTAACGGTCAGATCTCAAAATTTCTCCTTTTAGTCTCACCGAACGAGTAATTTGACGGGACAATCAATATAGTATGCGTGTTTAAACCAAATAACTCACAACTCAAGTAGTTAATAACTACGACGACTTCCTAGTTCCTACACGAAATCACAATTCTTCTCTACATAGAAAATGTGAGGAGGCAATCACAACATGAAATTTTTTTCCTTTTGATTTTCTTATGGTTCTATGAACAATCCTCCCTATATTTTCTTCTATTTCCAGCAAAAATTGTGTTGGGTTAAAGCGGCGTGGTGCGAGGCTATTGGCCAGGTGGCAAACTCCGAGTCAGTGAGTCACCAACCCGGGAGTTGCCATTGTGTGTACATGTAAAACCTCGCGAGTCGGTGACTCACCAAACTCTTCTCTCTATTTCTTTCTGAAATTCTCAATAGAAAAATCCAAATTTGTTGCTTGTCCCTTTTCTTTGGTTCCCTTTTTGCATGGCGCTGTCACAACTTTCTTAGCTCACTCAAGTTCTCTCTCTCTCTCTCTCCCTCTCTCTCCCTCTCTCTCCCCCCCCCCTCTCTCTCTATCTGGCCGTTTCCTCTTCTTCTTCCTCAATGATCTCAACTGGGTTTACACTAATTTCTCCAAGTCACTGACTTTCCATCTGGGTTTTTACTTTACTCCAAAACGCAACTGGGTTTTTACTGGGAGGTGATCATGGGTTCAGGTTCGCACTGGGATGCTGAAAAAATGTGGGTATTATTTGCTCTATTTTCTCTGTTCTTATCAAGTTTGAAATAATAAATTTTGGTTTTTTTTTTTCTTTTCACATTCTCTCTTTTGGTTTTTAATTTGTAATCTGTGTGTATTTTGATATGTGGTTTATAGGTTTAATCTGTATTTACATGACTATATGGTGAAAAAAAATATGCACGAAACTGCTGCAATTTTCAGGGAGGAGGCTGATGTTTTCAACCATCCTGTTGGTTAGTCCCTTTTTTGCTCAAATTCCCCTGCTTTTATGCTTATAAGTTTTGTCAGAATGAGTGTGTTGATTTAGTTGGAATTGCAATGAAATACTACCCACAATTTTGTTGATTATATTGTTGATCATACATTGTTTGAAAGAAGCAAAAATCGAGTTAATCGTGGCTGTACAGAATGTAGCATTAGAATTTCGCTTTAAAATTATGGTTTTCGACTGTGTTGAACGGTCTTGGGGAATTTGTGCTCGATTTTCTTTCAATCATGATTTCATAACCCAAAATTTGATTGATTAGAGTTATAAATTTTTTAACTGTGAGGCTCTTGCATTTCCAGTCATTAATAGTCCAGACGGATTCTTGCACGAATGGTGGTCTTTGTTTCATGATGTGTATGCCCTTCGGCACTTAGAGGCTCAAGAGGCCAAGGCGGGACCGTCTGCAACTGAGGTATAATTTTGCTGAATTAATTTGAAGTCTTGCTTTCCAAGTTTTGTGTAAGATGGCGCATCATTTTATATACCTATATTTTTCTTCCAATTTTCAGGCTAAGCAAATGCGAGAGAATGAAGGACAGAATAAGCGTCCAAGAGCGGCACGTAAAGCAACCACCCCACCGAAGCCTCCGCAATTTTATGAGGGTACTAGTTCAAGGTCTGTTGCAACCAGATCAAGGTATACCTTAGTCCTTTTCGTAACTCTGCATTAATTATGTCAGAAGCTGATTTCGTTTTGAAATCATTTGTACAATTCATTTGAACATTTTTGCAATTCCTTAATACCGTGATCTCTTTACTGTTAGTTGGCTTTGTTTAAATCCAGAGCATTATTTTTCTCTTTTATTGACATTCTCCCTTCTTGTGTTAGCCATATGCAGCCAGAACTTCCCAATCACGCTCAACAGCAGGTACTTGGAAATTTTGTGTACTTCGTCAACTCAAACGAATAAGAACCCCAAATTGCTAGAGTTACGTAGATAAACTTAAATGTTCAGGCACAGGACAACAGAAGCTCGGGCAGGGCTGTCACTGAGGACCCTAGGCTTTATGGATTGCGTCGTACCACATTGCCAGTAACTGAAGATCTGGATTCAGGTTTGTTAGTGTTATTGGGTTTCATTTTTTGGAATTACAGTGCTCAGAGCACTGTGAAATTGCAGATATATCATATAACACACTGAGAAGAAGATATATCTTCTATACCTACATGTATCTACTACCTCCTGCTATTGTTTGATCCGGGACTAATCTTGCACTCTCTGACCATGTTTTGTGATACTTTTGGGAGTGGTCAAACATTATATCTATCATGTCCATCACTTTGAATGTTTGTTTGTATACCAGTATTACATTATATGGTTATCTTGAAGTAATCGTTTGATCCTCTGTCATACAAAGAGAAGTGTTATATTTGATTTACATTATGTAGGTGTGTGATTGCTTTCTGTTTATGTTTCCAGGTATGCTTGCAGTCAATCCTGGAACACTTCATGGGAGGCCTTTAGAAGTTAGTGGTTTATAAGTACTTGTCCATTGGAACTCTTTTAGCATCATTTTGATTCAGTTTTCTTAATATTTTATCTGAAGTTGATCAAACTCCCTGGTGGGTCACCAGGTATTAAACTCAGCCTTGCAGGCTCCAAATCATAAGCAACACCAGGCTTTGAACCATCAGAAACAACAGGCTTCGAATGATCAGCAAAAACAGGGTCCAAGCCATCAGCAACAGATTCAGACGTGGACAACAGAACATCAGTATCCGTGTTTGGATCAGGTATGCTGTACCATCACTTACAAAGTCATCCCGCAAATACAACAAGCATAAGCTTTTGGCATACTTGTCTTTGTACACTACTTCCCGATTTATTTGGTGCTATCATCGACTAAAAGATACGAAAACGAATGTTGGCAACCAGAGTGCAAGCTACATGTTAATAAGTTTTCAGTAGATGTTTAAAATCCTTTTCCTATTGAAAACTGATTGGTGATGATGACTAAGATGATTGGTCAAGGAAAAGAAGCACAAGTTACTAGAGGTTTAGCAGTAACCTTGATTAACACGCTTGATTAGAAACTTGGTTATTAGAAGTTTCCTGGCTTGGTTGAAGGTGATGGTTCACATTTTTTTTTTCTGAAGTATATCTGTCTAACATTGTCATTTCAAAATCAGAATGGCAGACAGAGGAAGACGGCACTCCATTTGAGAACTGGAGGCAGCGCTTTGGTAGGTCATACACCTTGCAATACATGAAGATGTTCCCTTATCACATGACATCGATATTTGTGGAAGTTAATGAATGCTTTGATTTGGGGAATCTCATCATTTCTGATGGATACTTCTCCTGAAACTTATAATTTCTTGGGCTTCTATTATCCAACGTTGTGCTTAATTTCTTCATGGGATCAAACCATAGGACGAAATGAATGCTAATGAAGAAATACCTGTGGAAGAAAATGCCAAATCTTTCTTGTCCACTGGTGATGACAACGTTGATGGTACACGCACTCCTTTCAGATTTTTAAGACGTCGTGCTACAGCTTGCAACAAAAATGAACAAAAAGGTAATTCATTGAGATTTAGAAAAATAATAATGCTTTGTACTTTGTACTATCTAAATTTGTTATACTGAGTCTCAATGCAGTTCCCGTCCATGTTTTGCTCCCCATAGGATGAGAAGCTTTCATTAACTTTACTTTGTTACCAACTGCTAGGCTTCACATTTGAAGAAGTTGGTTCCCTCCACTCAAGCAAGTCCAAGGTTGTATGCTGCCATTTTTCATCAGAAGGGAACTTGTTAGCTAGTGCAGGGCATGAGAAAAAGGTCACTTGATGAAAACCATCTATCATGTTCAGTTTATTACATTCTTAGTCAGTTCTAGTAGTCTTTTTTACGAGTTTATCGCTGATTTCGTAGTCTTCTGGCAGGTTCTGATTTGGAATATGGAAACTTTTGATTTTGTTAAAACTTCAGAAGGGCATTCTCTTCTCATTACAGATGTACGGTTTCAACCAAACTCAACCGTTTTTGCAACTTCTTCATTTGATAAAACTGTGAAGATATGGGATGCATCAAACGTAAGTTTTTTCCATTCTCACTAATTTAAGACCTTGTCTTCGTATGTGAGTTGAACATACGAGCGCTGCTCCAAGTCCAAGCCTGTTGGGTCTGGCTAGTCTTATGTTGTCTCCATACTTGTATCTTCTGGACTCACACGTGCTTGCAATTCACCCCTTTGAAGTAATGATTGACAAAAGATCCTTCAACATAGATAAATGATATTTGTTACATTCTTGTGCCATTGTAGTCGAGCAGATCATTGTCCCAGCTTGTAGGGCACTCTGAGCAAGTAATGTCAGTGGATTTCCACCCAAGGCAGGTCAATCTCCTTTGCTCATGTGATAGTAACGATGAAGTTCGACTTTGGAATACCATCCAATGTACTTGCACACGCTTGTTTAAGGTACTAATATACCTGATCGTTGCATTTGTTATTGTTTAATGGTAGCATCATATTATGCTAAAACTTGATATCCCACATTGAGAGAGAGTTTTAAGGAATAAATTGTAGAAACTTGTCTTCTTTTTCTGTATAAGTATGAGGTCTGCGCTTAAGTTCAGTAGCAGCATCGTTTTATGTTGCATATCATTCAACCCTTTAGAACTCTGAGTCAATTATATGGCAATTTATTCTCCCAACGTATAAGTTGGAGATAACTTGGTAGACAAGTTTCTCTTGGAACTTCATCCCAAGGCCTTACCGAAATCTCTGAGGTAGGACAGAGGTGGCAGCGGAAATTAGGTAGTTTAGCGGAAGTGAAAACACATATAATCTTAATCCTTATAAAAGTAGGAAATTAGAAGACTAATCCCCTCGATATTAAAATAATAAAACTCTAGAGACTAAAAGACTAAAACACCCTTTAATTTAAGAAGCCACCACTTATGTTCCTCATCAATCTCCCTATTGATTAACTGCAGGGAGCAACTAAACAAGTCAGATTCCAGCCTCAATTTGGAAAGTTTTTGGCTACTGCTTCAGGAAAAGATATCAATATATTTGATCTTGAGACCGGACGGATTGAGTTGTTCTTGACGGTAAGCCTTGAGACCATTCATGCGTTTTACATGCTACAATAGCTCTGATTAATGCATCAAGGTTCCTTGTTCTTGCTCATTTTAATTGACAGAAAAAAAAAACTTTTTTCAGGGATCCGGACACGCCAAAGATATTCTTTCACTTTGCTGGGACCCCACTGGGAAGTATCTTGCCTCTGTTAGTGAAGATAGTGCAAGAGTTTGGTCTCCTGCGTCAAACGGGAAATGCATATATGAACTGAAATCAAATGGCAACAAATTCCAATCATGCACATTTCATCCCGGATATTCACTGCTCTTGATTATTGGTGGTTACCAGGTAACTATTAATATTTAAACTGTCATTGTGGCCAGTAATTTGGCGAGGCTGTTTGTGATTATAACCTCCCTTTATACGAAAATGGGGTTCTGCACTTACAAGTTTTCGCGGGTTCCTTTAATACTAGATGCCGACCTTTTGTATTTGCATTTGATACATTCAAGAAACTGGAAACAAGGTTACTATGTAGAATATGTTTAGTGTTTGAAAATATTGTTGTTCAGAAGTCATAGGGTGATTAGTTTCTCAGTTTATGTCCATAAGATCGTAAATTTGTTCGTCTAAAGTATCCATTTGTTCTTGGCAGACCCTTGAGCTGTGGAGTCCAAGCGAGAGCAGCAAGACACTGACAGTTCCGGCGCACCAGGGGATAGTTTCTGCTCTGTCAGCATCCGCGAAGACTGAAATGGTTGCCTCAGTGAGCCATGATCAGTGTGTGAAGCTATGGAAATAAGACCTTTCACTGTGAAAGTGCAGCTGCATGAGAAACTATGGAGAATATGTAAATTGGGAAATCAAGAACAAAGCCAAATAGTATACACAGGAGTTTTAAAGCGTTGGATTCTGTGAACTTTTTGAACAAGTTTGTCTGAGACTGGATCTTCAACCCTTCGTTGGCCGGTGCATGCCATACGCGGGAGTGGTTGAATTTTTGTATAGGAGGGAGAAGGTACTAATTTGTGCCCTCTGGTCTCCGATACAGGCACATTTGCACTCTCAAAGTTACAAATTCGATGTAAATGTTTTGGACCAACATGGCGAGTGTTAAATAGAAATCCGCCAAAGTTGCTTATGTTATATTATATTATGTAGTTTTTGAGTTTAAACAAGTTCATAATTTCCAAGAGAGGAATGCTAAGGAGACTCTAAAAAAGGGACTCTCTATGAACTCGTGAGCTCATGTTTTTAGCACAATATTTATAATATTGATATGGGAATTGACGTTAAACTGTAAGGTGGCAAAAAGTCCATGAATATCTCCACTTCGAGAATTTCCTTAGCATTTCTCTTTCCAAGGAGTACTTTCTTTTTGTTACATTGCGGAAATGTAGAGATATACATTGATGTAGCATGCATGAGATTTTCGGAGAAATTTGGGAAAAGATATTAAATTGATGGTCCATGGAGCAATTGAGAAGGCAGCCGCGTGCAGGCTAAGTCTTGCGTGACCGCTAAGTAGAGAAGCTTTACTGACCTCAGTTTTCACTTCTCCAAACGTCGTGTCATTTTTTACACAACAAAAAAAAAGCCTCTAATGTTTGCGGTTAATAATTTGCAGCTTTGGAGTATGAATTTTTCTCTAGACCCAATTTGATGAAGGTATAATTATCTATCGGGTAAATTCATTTCTTTAAATCTCACCCGTTCATTTCACATTGAATGCAACGTGGTATTGTAGATTCTCTGGAAACATGATAAGGCTACGCCAAGTTTAAAAACATCAAAAGCTTCAAATGAAGACAAAATTGAAAAAATAAAGGCTCTTATACGTTTACAACAAGAAGCCTGCACTACAAGAATTAATCTACAATGCAGAACAGCTGCTTTTGCTTACTTCTGTTCTATCACTTCCAAAGCTCTTCCATCGGGATACCACGCTCACGAGCGACATCTCTGAACTGCCTCATTTTCTGTACGGCAACCACCGTGGCTCTAGCATTGTTGAGAGCATTCTTGCTTCCAAGTTGCTTCCCAAGAGCATTCTCGACACCTGCCATTTCGAGAACTATTCTCACAGACCCTCCGGCGATAACTCCAGTACCAGGAGAAGCAGGCCTCAGCATCACCTTTGCTGCTCCATAATCTCCCTCGGATCTGCCATTTTTTAGAGTAAACAAAACAGGAGATGCTTAAATTAGAAGAATAGGAAGGAACTCACTTCTGTCCCATCACCAGTAATTGCATTCAACTTTAAGGAATATGATAAGAATATAAACAGTCGTTATCAAAGAAAAGAAATGGAGACAACCTTTTGCTATCTAATGTGTTCCAAACAATGGATCAACTTCAGTTTGGATTGAACAAAGAAAGTTACGAACATTCAAGTGGGACTCGCCCAGTGTAATGACAATATTGCTAGTAGTCCACATTAACATCACAACTTAACCTACTTCGATATTCCTGAATATGAATTTCCACTTCCCGAGTGTTTAATTACACTTAATCAAAAGTTTAATAGTTCAATTTCATATTTAACTAAGCTTTGCAATTCTTTTGATCCCATTTAAATTCGTGTATGGTTTACGCCAGAAGACCAATCTGTCAGATCGAATGAGAATCCACATATTTTCATTACATGGTTTACACCTTCTGATGCCATTTATCAAATCACTTCCTAGGCTACACGTCAATGCTATCAAGCACGTGACGTTGTACCTGTATGGTCTTTCCCATACAACTGCAACAACCTACTGATTCACTGGTTATTAATAAATATGTACTACATCCATCACAAATTGGGGTTGTCAATATTAGAAGACACTGTTCCACGAAAAAATGTATGCTGAACAGACGACTTCAAGTAAAAATGACACTTTAGTAACTCACCAAATATCAATCATAAGACTCAGAGAATATATAATACTTCAAGTATAGCTTGCGTGAAGTGAGATCAAACCACATATACAATCAATTTCACCTCTCCGTGTTGTCTCAGACCTACGACTTCAAGTTTAACCAAGCACCATCCTCTCTCAAATATTTCAAAGTCTCATAGGCAGTCTTATACTAAAAAGCACGGGCGCGCCCAAAAATTGCAATTACATTCGATTCAAATTCTACGAAATTCCTATATGCAAAACTTTCCATGCCATCAAATGACCAAAAGTATCATTTTTAACACAATTCTCATACATTGTCATTGAAATAAACCCAACTGAAATGCAGAAATGACCACAACTACGCAGATAGCCAAAACCCTAAATGCAATGACATTCAATTCCACATTCTAAACAAAACCCTGAAAATGCAGTATTTCCCACACCACCAAAATATCCAACACAAACAATTCAAGCACAATTCAAACAAAAATTAATCGAACCCAGAAACCAAAATGACACTACCTGTGAGGAAAAGTCAGGTACTTGGTCATGGGCACACTGATAATGTTCCTTCTAGCATTCACTGCAGACTTCTGCACCGCCCCAATAACCTCCTTGGCCTTCCCGACGCCGACACCCACATTGCCCTGCTTGTCGCCGACCACCACAATCGCCCGAAAATGCAGCTGCTTCCCTCCTTTCACCACCTTCGTCACCCTCCTCACCTGCACCACCCTCTCCTCGAAACCATCTCTAATCTTCTCCTTCTTCAGCTTCCCAAAAGCCCCAAGCTTTTTCACCTTCGAGTCCATCACGTAAATGTCATTCCCCAGCATGGTCACGCCACTGTACGCCGGACCGTACAGCTCCTCGTACGCGGCCGCAATTTCGTCCTCGGTCTCGGTCGAATCCTCATCGAAGGAAGGCGGGGGCACGAAGTCTTCGGGGGCCTCCGGGGGCTCGAACACGCCGTCGAATTCGGGGTCCTCGTTGTCGAAGAAGGAGGTCTCAACGTCGGACGCGGCGGCATTGAAGATAACGGTGGTGGGTCGGGAAGAGGAGAGGATGAGGGAAATGGGTTTTCTGGGTTTGGTTGCGGGGGTAGCCGCAGCGGTGAATGGGAGGAGGGAGAGGCGGGGAGAGGGGTGGAGAGAGAGGGAAGAGAGAGAGGAGAGAGAGGAGGAGGTTGTGGACATGGCCATGGCAGGAGGAGCAGCGAGGGGTTAGAGTTCAGTGTGGGAGTTTTGGATCAGACAGACTTATCCCCAAAAAGGCAGAAGCTTGGAGGATGGATGAGTCATCGCCTCATCATCAAGACGATGATGATGTGTAATATGCAATCGTCAGTCGAGCATTATACGTCTAGTCGTTTTTTCCTTTATACGACTTGTCATTTGAGTGCGGACGATGGGACCGCTTACAAACCGACCCCACACACAAAACACCCTACCGTTAATCCGACACGAAAATAACAAGTTTCAGGTCAATCCGTTAACGAGTGGGGTCATTATCGAGTCACTTGTTAAAAACTTGTTAACGAATCGATTCATTATCAGGTCACTCGTTAGAAACGTGTTAACGAATCGATTCGTTATCGGGTTACGTGTTAAGATAACGAGTATGACACATAAACAACACGAACACGACCCGTTTGCAAGGCCTAGACATTAGACATGGCAATTTCTTGCATGACTCATTAACCCGGCACGAAATGACAAAACTTGTTAACAAGTCGGGTCGGTATCAGGTCACCTGCTAAGAATCTGTTAAGATAAAGAAATTAGCATGACACAATTCATTAAGATAACGTATGACACAAACACCAAACATGACCCTTTTACCAACCGACTGCACACACAAAACACCTACTCCCTCTATATATTTTGATGGAATTGGATCCCATCCGGATCCAAATTGTGGGGATCCTAGGGATCCTCAGATCTTAGTCATTCATCATATATCGTGTGGTCAAAAATCATTTACTTTTTTATTTAAAATTAAACACAAATAGTACCTGACGAAAACCGACTATACAATATACTATGAACGGCTAGGATGTGAAAATCCCTATAATCCCTACGAAGTGGATTCGGAGAGGATACTCTTCCTGCACTCACTCAACACGTTCTATCCCACCTTTAGTATATATCTCGCTTATATAAAGAAATGTGGCTCTCAATCAAAATTTTGAGCCAACTAGCTTTTAGTTTTGTTGCAATGTACTTTCCCATCTTTTGTCTTCCTTCGTTTTGGAACAAGGCATCAGGTGGAACCCATCCTAACTTTAGCTCAGCCCAACTCTCCGGCCCAGTCCATTCAAGTCTTGGGAAACAAGGAAGACATGTAAGAAGATGCCAATTCCAGCGAAAAAAATAGAAGTACAAAAATACTTTAATATTATTCCATTTGAGAATACAATTGACATCAGAATGTAAAAATTAACAAGACATAAATAATTTGCTTTTCCTATATATCTTCTCAAGCATATGAAATAATTGATGAGATATCCTGTGCCAGAAAAAAGTACTCAACCACGCAGTCACATTTTTTTGCATACGGTCCTTGCTGATCCCCGGCTAAGTCATGTCATTGTCCGCCGTGGCCTCGTCCCGTTGTGATCAAAGAGACGATAGTCATATGCATTTGTAGCGGTTGACTTCTGGGAGCATCCCAAGGCCTTTGTAGCAGTCATCGAGCTCAAAGTGATCCTCATCTACCATCCCCATCGTTGCTCTAGTCTCTGATGATGATGATGATGATGAAGGATCGATTCCTGCAGCCAATGTGGATGGTGGTTGGGTAGATGTCTCAATATGGCTAGCAGCGATGCTGGACAAAGTAGTAGCTTCCTCATGTTCCCTATAGTCTCTAGAGACCATAGACAAAGCATCCGCGAAGATGTTAGCTTCTTGATCTTGCTTAAGTTGTTCCACAAGTTGTTCTAGAGATAATTCGTCTTCTTCGTCGCCAGCTACGTAGGTATATGGTGAAGGTGAAGATAAGTTTGAGGCCGCATAGGGGTTACTTCTAAGGGTTTTGGCATCGGCATTGGGAGTGTTAGCGTTGGTGTTGGTGTTGGTGTTGGTGTTTGTGTTGGCAGAGTTGTTGGTGTTCGTTTTGTTGTTGTCGGTGGTGTTGGTTTTGAGGCTAGAGTTGATGTTGGGGACGATCTTGATGGTTTGATCTGTAGGGTTAGTTGTAGTATTACGCTGTTGAGAAGAGGAAGGCTCAGCTACATCTGCTGGTCTTGGCACCTTTTCTACGGAGATGTACTGTTTCCTCGCATGGACGAAAAAAGCAGCTTAGTTAAGATAACATCATATTAAGAGAAGCAAAATAGTCTAATGCATAAACTGAAATTTATATCCAACAATGCAGGATTTAATATACAGCAAACAATGACAGTTCAAAATCTATGTAAGATATGACTCAGAGTAATGGTCTTTCCGTAAACTCCAGATTTTCTCATTAGGAAATATTATTATTTTCAGGGGATTATTATGGCCCACTTAACTGAATTGTACACTAATACAAGCCTAAAACGCCCATTTCAGTCTTCCTGCCAGCCAATTAGAGCTGTTTCTAAATGCTCGGGTCAATTTCAAAATACTTGTGCCACACCCGTGCTTTCCAACGCATAATCTACTAGGCGCTCATCACTGGCCATCCTATCCTATCCATACATGCACCTTATTATGTACCTTCACACTATCCTCCAGAGGATATCGTTGTCATAACGTAAAAAGTAATGTCACCAGGCATGCAGCTCAGACTCTTTAATTTGTATTCAACTTTCAAAATCCTACTTTAATTTGCAACAGATTCTGTAGTAATTAAGGAAGAAAAGAGGACTCACGAGGTTCTTGCATTCATCCTCGTAAAGATAAATGCAATCTCCCGCCTGCAGCCTTTTTTTCCTAACAAAAGCGCCTGTTACATTGAAAATATGGATACTCTTAAGTCAGTAAACATGATATATCGCGTGTTTGTCAATGAACATTAAGAGCAATTCCGTCGGTTTTTACCTGTATATTCGAACACATACATTCTGCTTCTGTTGTTTGACCAGAACCTGTGTAAAATTAACCAAGCAGAAAAAAATGGCTTCAATTAATTGGCAGAAAACTCGCATGGTTTGCCGTTAAACTATAAAATTAATAGTACTGTCCATACGCTTACTTGTATTTGAATTCCCAATGCCGGTTGGAATGTACGTCTCTGACAGTCAGCTGGATGCCTTCTCTGTCGGAGAGCATTGGAAGGTTATTTTCCGCTTCTTTCTGTGAATGAGGAGAAAACGCATACAGAGAAGCAATGTTGGTGCAAAATTTTATAAATGAGGAAGGGCTTTGTTACTAGGCAGTCTAAATCAGAAATTTTTTGCAATCGTCAACAAAAGTGAAAGAAATCAAACTAAGAAGTTGGTTGGTTCACCTTTTTAGTTCTTTCTCTTCCATCCTCGTTTCTCAGAAAAGGAAAAACAAAAAGAAGTAAAAGGGACTGCAAGTGCCAAAACAAACAAAGACCTCACCTTTGGTAGTATAATCCTGCCCAAAGGTCCAACATCACTATTCTTTAACTCCTTCTTAAAAAGCGGTCTCAATTTCTGTTAATAAAAATACACAGAATTAGTAGTTTAAAGAAAAACTCATTTGAAATTCAGATTCGAGGAGGTAAAAAGCAAACCCATACCTTGTTATCCGGCGTGCAGAACAAGTAGAGCTGTTCTTTGGTGTCCTGCAAATCAGCACCATTTCCAGATGATGAAGTGGAAAGGATTCCACGAGTATCATCATCACCATCATTCCCATGAAATGGAGGATGCCTGCTCAATGGGGGAGAACAAGTACAGGAAACTGCAGCGTTGGCTGCGTTTCTGCTCAAACTGAGACTCCTCTGTCTCGCCATCTTTCTCTCTTTTCTTGCAGACTTGGACATAAGTGCATCCAATATCCATCCTGATTGGTCTCGGCTGGCCTGTTCTCTGGAAAGAACCATATTCGGTTGGGCACCGACCAGGAATGGATACATATGGAGACCGGCCTGATGGTACAGGTAATGATTATTTGCATGCGGGAATTGCAGGCCTGGATTTGGTGCTAGATACTGCGCCGGGTAATACCTGTACTGAGTGGCCAAAGGACTACAAGTAGTTGAAGGCAAACAACTCACTGGTTCACAAGTGGACTGTGAGTTATTTGTCTTGTGAGTAGAGGTTACGGTGGTTGTAGAGGGGATAGATGGTGGGTTGAAGTTCTCCATTGTCTATGAACACAGAGCGCTTGTTGATAGCGAGGGTTGGTCTTCAGAGAAGGTAGGGGATGGTTTTATGTTGGTGTGTGTGAGTGAGGGTGAGGGTGGGGTTGTATAAGCTGCAGGCCATGGGCAATTTGGTAAACTGGGGATGCTGCCAGTGGAGAGAGTACAGGTGTGGACAAAGCAAGAGGAACACGTAAGGGGTGCAAAGGAGTGGGGAAAAGCACGTGAGGGAAAGGAAGCAAGACGAAAGAAATTAACGAAAAGGCTGAGGAGGAGTGCCAGATAGAGAAAATTGGGTTGAATGAGAGAGTATACTGTAAGTGCTATGGAAAGTTTGACAAGGTGGGGAGCAAATGACAAGTGGCCGGAGGGTGGTGGTTTTGGAATAGCCATCTGACCAGTGTGTAAAAGAAGAACATAATCAGAGAGAAGAGTTAGAGAGACACAGAGAGGAGAGCGACATTTTCTGGCGCCTCTTTTAGTTCAAATGTGGTAAACTTGGGCTATGAGAGTCTGACTGTATGGACATATGTGGAGCCATACTCCTCCATCCTTTCTTGCACAGAACACCATGGAAAACCAAGGCAAGCCCATACAGTCATTGCCTTCTGTCAAACCACATTTTCTCGCTCCTTTGCCTCCCTCACTCTCAAGACTCACACTCTTTCCCTCTCTAAATCCAGCATCCCAAGAGCAACAGGTGGAGGTGGATTGTTATAAATGTTATAAAAGGAAGAAGTAGAGGGACTGCTATCTCCAGGGATGATTTCCTCTCTCTGCAACCAAGCCCGACAACGCCTTGTATGACAAGTACCAGAAACGCCATCCTAGACAAATTGAAGCCCAAGATTGCAAATTAAGGCCTCCTCCTGAAATAGCAAACCAGAACTTCCCCTCTTAAGTTGTTATATTTAAAATTTTATATGAAGTTTTTATAGCTAGAGGGTTAGAGGTTGTAATGTTAGGAATGTGAGTAAACGATTGTTATAAGTAAAAGGGGTAGCACAACCTGATGAACTCAATGGAACTTGTGCTTTTATTTTCGTCGTGCACTGAATCACTTCAAGTTCATGGTTTGATGCCATGTCTCGCTTGCTTGGTATTTCTTCAATCACAAAGCGAGAATCAAAACTGCTTTTGAGTCCATCCTACATCAAAAATAAAATCTCATTAGCACTTTCGTGGTTGCATTAGCATAATCTGTTCGAAAAGTATTGAATAGAGTGCTTTCCATTATTATTTTCTATTCCCACCGGTTGCCATATCCGTATCCACTAAAGAGGCTACCATCTTTGGTTTTGGACAAAATTAGAAGCAAATTGAACTTAAAATTTTGCCATTCATGATCTTCCATTTTAGAATACTTTTAGATATCTTTTGACTCCATCCATCAGGTAATGGATTCAAATTTATCTGGGAGATCCATAAGGTAAAGGTAATAAAAATTTATATACAAAATTTAAGCATAGAAGCTAATCCAAACAGCACATAAGCAAGCTGGAAAACCTAACAGAGGCCTGATAAATTAAACCATAAATACAAATTCACACATGGTACCTGCTGAAAAAAAGAAATTCATTTATAATATCATAATAACAGAGCTGAAAATGAAAAGCGATATGAGTGCAGTATTGCTGCCTAGTTCTTACAAAGTTAGCCACAGAATAACTGTGGTAATCACATCTACTAGGAAGCTCCATTACAACGATTTCCTCGTATATTCATCACTGGGACAGCAAAAATTTCAACTGCTTGTATAAGAAAGAAGGTATGGCAGATTTATAGCAATAACAGGGAAGAAAAAACTTGAATACCGAATTGAGATGAGACCATAGGATAACTAGGATTTATATAGAGGTGATAAAGAGGCTCAACAAAAATGCATGCAAACCAAACATGTTAGGTGATTACACCTGCCCCAGACGGTTATATAGATATGTCAATCATGCAGAAAAATGCTCTGAAGTTGTGGAACGTGGATGCATAAAGGTTCGACAAGGAACATGCAAACCAACACCTGCCCTAGACGGTTTTATAAATGTTGATCATGGGGAAAATGCTCAACCTATTCGAAGCAGATTCATATCGAGTTGAGAAAGTTATTGAGAAGCTGCATGCAACCCAACACCTGCCCAGGCGGTTATATATATGTCGATCATGGAGAAAAACGCTCAACCTGTTCAACGTGGAACGAACTCATGGTCAAAAAAGACAAATTGGTAAGTAAATCAGTTTATCATGGGAAATGATAAACACACTTTTTTCTTTCTCCTCCTACAACCCGTTTAATCTTGTCCATTGTTTCTGTTTGAGTTATTCAATCCAACGACCAGTAATAAAGAGGGGTATGTGAGAGGCTAAAAAGAGTGTGTGAAAATCGGCTCCCTTTATCCTTTATGTATGTTCCTCTTTTAATTTATTTCATTCTACTGTTCAAAACTAAAGAGTTTTAGGCTGCATTAGTCAAAAAAAGTTTCCAAAATTAAAAAGATTAGCAGGCTGAATATGGGACAATTTCAAACATGAGCGGAGACATGTATAATCAATATTCAATAATGATGTTATATGGATTATGGAATAGGATTTCCCAAAAATCAGAGTAAGACATCAAAAACATCCAGGACCTACAAAAAACCTAGCATCCTAACACTAGATAATTTATGTTTTGCGAAATTTATGTTTTGTGAAACTTATCAAAGTTAACAAGGGTTAGCCAAACAAAGGAAGGACTTCTAATTTGGGTTCTAGTAATTCATATATTTGTAAAGATGAACTTGAGTTTAATTTGTTTCAGAGTAGAAAAGATCTGCATATATGTTATATATGCTAAATAAATACTCAATAGAGCTAACATGGGTAAATAATTAGGATAAATGGAAGAACATAAATTAGCATTTTATCAATCTCCTGCAAATAGACCTCTATGATAGATGGAACTGCAGTAAATACATTTATGTATTCAAGTAAGTGAATTAACAGGAAGGATTTCATTAGGTTCTAGACTATCTGTTCGAGATTAGTTCTTATAAGGTATGTATATGAAGTGAGGTCTAATTCCTTTCAGATAGAAAGAACAATACAGAAGGAAAGCGACACAACGATATATTTTTACTTGAAAGTAGAATAAGACTTCTGTTCTTTCTTAAGGATTATTTTAATCAAGATTCGGACAAAATTCTAATCTAGGTGAGTGTAATGCTAAACTTGGTCTTCTCCTTTGCTTCATAAGATACTTGTTTGTCAAATTTACATGACAATGCTCTACTTAACTGAATAATGTAACCATGGTTCACCAAAAATCACAGAAATTTTAGATCATCTGCTGCAAAAATATGGAATAGACCACTAAGGAAATGACATTGGTCAGATCTAAGGCATGCTTCTTAGATTCCTAATTCATTTTTGAACAATTACTTTTCCGGAGAAAAGTGCGAAATGACTTTTTTGGAGTGCAAGTAACAGTTCGCGTCAATGACTTATCTTAAGAAATCTAATAAATTGAAGCTTCACAGCCTCATAGATTGCACATACAAAGCTAAACATGGAAGAGAAACACCAATTAACAACAAACAATGATCAGCTTCCAAAACCAAATCAACCAAATGAAGCTATACTTTTCTATGAAAAAAAAACACCCATCAACTCCTGAAGCGTACCAAATCAACCAAATGAAGCTAAACATTTCTGTGAAAAAAAAATACCCATCAACTTCTAAAGCGTAAAGAACAAATCTTTAGCGGGACCCCTCAATTCCCAATTCAATCCAGTTCTAGGGATTTGAATATGAACTTGTTAATTAAAATATATGTAGTAAAAACAAGCAAAGAGAGGAGCTTTTGTCAGTACCTGAAGACGGTGGACTTCCGAAACTAGCCTCGGTGGCTGTCGTACCGGAGCTGGGGAAGAGTGCGCCCCAATTGGCATAATTTTGCCGGACTGAAATCTTCGGATCAGTAAAAACCCGAATAGTTTGGGCTCCAAAAAGCAAAATTGATGGGCTTTTATATCCCTCTTGAACATGACCCACTTCTTTTCCATACTTTTCTGGGCCACAAATAAATCAAAATGATATGGGCTTTTAGCCCTAGAGCCCATATTAAGATTGAGGATTGAGAGTCGACTATTGAGACAAAATTGAGAGTCGGCTACTGAGACAAAAGTGGTGATCTATGTAGGCTACAGGAGCTCCCCAGCAAGTGACAGCACACGTGTCAAGCGCCAAAGCTGCCACCACTCTTCCTAATCTCGTTATAACATGCAAACCCTAGAGGCGGTGATAGGATAATACAAACCAACCGAAGGAAAGGAGAAAAGCAGAGCAAGCAAACATGGCAGTGCTTTCCGTAGCAGATAATGTTTTGTTCAACCTCTCCAGATCTTTTCCTCGATCCCCTCAGCCATTCTCTCTCAGATATTCATCTCAGAAAGTCTCCCGCGTCTGCTTCACCTCCGCCTCCAAATCCGAGGTAACATTTACAAATACGGGTTAGGCTAGTTAGTTAGGGCAGTATGCTCGTATTGTCAAAAATTGTAGTTTAACATATTTGTGTCGACTGATTTCAGGGACGAAATGTGGCCGGAGAGAACAAGGGATATGACAAAGCGAAAGAAACCATGGGAGAAGGCCTAGAAAAGACGAAGCGAAAAGCCGAGGAAATGAAAGAGACGACCAAGGATTACGCGCAGGAAGCAGAGGAGAAGACGAAGAGCGCAGCTGAGACTATAGAGGAGAAGGCGAAAGAGGGAACGAACAGAGCAGCGGAGACGGTGGAGAGCACCAAGGAGAAAGCTAAAGAGTATGGTTACGAGACAAAGGAGAAGACCAAGGAGATGGCGGACACTGTGACAGAAAAAGCGGAGGAGGGGACTCAGAGGGCAGCCGAGACAGCGGAGAGCGTCAAAGAGAAGGCCAAAAAGAATATGTCGGGGATGGTGGAGAAAACAGAGGATGCGGTGGGAACTGTGGCGGACAAGGTTGAGGAGGGGCGTAGTAAGGCGGCGGAGACGGCAAAGGACACAGTGGAAGGGGCGTGGGGGGCGGTGAAGGAGACAGGGCAGAAGATTAAGGACACGGTGGTAGCTCCTGATCAGGAAGTGGGAGGTGGTGGCCATTGATGATGACTCTACTAGTGAGAGTGATGTGGATGGCGATGGCCTGGCGGAAGGAAAGGTGATGGATGCGAACTAAGGCGGCATGCCGGCAAGGGCCTTGTGAAGTAATATTGAGACTTACAATATTTCGTTTTTAATTTGCAACTTTTGTGATCGATGAATTAGGTTTTTGCTTTTTGCAAATTGTGCATTCTAATAATAAATCTAAAGGAAAGCTAATGATAAAAATGATTTGAAATTTTTGAATTTTAACGATAATGATAAAATAAAATATAAAGTAAATAGTACCTGATTTTTTAGTGTAAAAATATAATTTTTCATTAAAATGAATGGTATCGAGAGTTTTTCGTTAAAACTTCCTCAAATCTAAACCATTGAAATAACCCGTGTTTTGAGATGCATTGACATACTTCATTTTGTAAAGGAATTATTTCTTCTCTAAAATCAGAAAAAAATTAGAATTTTGATCGTCAAACCCACAATATTTCATCTCCGTTCAGGTTGATGCATGCCTTTAGATTAATTACTTGGTCAAGTAAAATTGCAGTAATCACATCGATAATCAGAACCAATTAATCAAAATTAATGATGGTATTTGAAGTGTTAACTGTGTTTGTAAAGGAAGTCCACACAAACTTCGTATTGTGTTTTACAATTTAGCAATTATGCGAGTTTCAATCTTGCGAATGTCCTTACTACTTTGAAATATGGTTAGTGTGACGGTACATGATTAGTGTGAGTGTAGGTCACCAAAAGGAGGTGACATATATCATGCTAATTACGTCTGATTCGATTATTAGCCGACCTTGCATTTTGAAACTCTTATACATTATGTGGCTTGAAATGAACTGCCATGATTTGTTCTTGAGACCACCCGTGGCATGGCAGCTTGATACCATGGCAGCTTATTCTCCCCGTTCGTTGTGCGGCTTGTGCCTCTTTTGCTTAACGTAGGTTATAAGAATTTCGAGGGGACACGAACCAAAAATATTAAAATTATTTATGAAATAGTTTAAGATATCGGTGAAAACCTACGATGCATGGACACGGACACGAGGATACGACACGGAGATACGTCAAATTTCTAAAAATTAAGACACGATACGGCAATTTATATAATAAATATATATTTAAAACATATATTTTAAATAACAATGAAAAAATTAATTACTCAAAATTTAATTTATAGTGTTCAAACTCTCAAAAAATAAAGGATGGTAGTGGTGTAAATTCAGTGGGCTATGTAGTTTTGGGCTTTAGTCTCATTTAAACCCTTTAAAGAAATAAAAATAAAAGAAATTGTGGTGTCATTTTTTACTACAGAAAACAGCATGTCGACCTAGCAATCATCTTCTTCGTGAAGCCTCCTCCACCAGATCGGGTCGTCTTCGTGCGACGCCTTCCTCCGTCAAATTGCGTCATCTTCTTCACGAGGCGTCCTTCCACCAGGTTGCGTCATCTCCGTCATGAGGTTTTCTTCCACGAAATTGTGTCAAAGGCCATGGTGCAGATATCTGTATCTAGACAGTCGGATACCCATATCCATCTGTCAAATGTCGTATCTATTGATCCAGATACGTATCCAACGCGTATCCGACCGTATCAGAGGCGTATCGTGTTCATTTGTGTATCCGACACGCGATACGCGGGTGATGTGCCGTGTCTGTGCATCGTAGGTGAAAACTAAATAATACTCACAATTGTGAAAACTAAACAATACTCACAAAATTTCAGCTACAAGTGGGTTTGTAGGTTAACCACACTCCTGACTCTTCTCCCCTTCGTCAAAGTTATCAATTCGATGATGTCCAAAATCCTATGTACTCATCACAAGACTTGAATTGTCAGTTTGAACGCGAATGCCGAAATTTGTGATTCAAAAAGTTCTCCGACAGTTGTGATTAAAAAAGTTCTACCCTGGATGGAACCACATTGATACTTCCAGAGTTAAAAAGGTTATTGGGGATGGCGGAATCACTATTAAGAGTTAAAAGAGGTTCTCGTAGATGGCGGATGCATGTTCAAGAGTTATAACCTTTTAAATAGACAAGAGGAACAACAGGATTTAGATGCATAAGTGAAGAGACTTCAATAACAGGATTTAGATGAATAAGTGGAGAGACTACGACAACTTTATATTTGGATTGGAGACTCTGAGTTTTTGATGGTTTCCATGATAGAGGGTTAGAGGCTCTTCTAATTTTGTTAACATGGTGAATTATGGTGATGACAAATATTGGAAAGAAAATGTCAACAACATAGACAACAATTATTTTGTGTGAAAAATAATTTAGGTAAGATTAGGATTATAAATTGTCTTTCTAATTATATGTTGATAAGTTGTTTGGACCCGATTTTAAATTTTCGGTCCAAGCAATCAAGATCGTCGGATGATTATGAAGAATTATAGACGTTGGAATGTGATCAACTTTGTAGTATTATTGGCTTGTTTCTAATATTTTTCTAGATATTACTATTGGATTATTGTAGTAATTATCTTGTAAAATATTAAAATGAGCTTGAAGAGTGCAGTTTGAAATCAAGGATTTTTCTTCCTCCACAGGTCTGTTTGGGATTCTTGTATTGGAGTTTTTAAGTGTATTGGGAGATTATCTTCGAATAATTCAAGCACAGAGTAGTTCAAACAACATGTGCAGATATGGAAGAATCATAGCCACTGAGTATCTTGGCAAAATGCCAAGTATTTTAATTAAATGGGATTAATGAAATTGCATGCATTATTCTATCCAGGAAAAGGTGGGATTGCATACCAGATGTGGAGGTAAAGTGGGACTGCATCAGGTTGCTACAAAGGAACACGTGGATTTTGAACAATGGTGATGACGCAATTAGGATTGAATCTTTGAAAAAGATTGTATTAGCAGGTCAAGATGGAAAAGATGGGATAAAGCTTTGATTGATGTGATAAGGCGTGGACTTATGTGCTTATAAGATAAAGTTTCAGAGCTTCATTTATTATGTGATTATGCATGGGATAAGTGCGTGGTCAACATCAACAAATAAAAACTCAGAATCACAGTGCCATTGGGATTTTGTTTTCAGGACTTGGGCATGCAAGTCGCTGTAAATACCAAGCGGCAGATGACTAAAAGACTCACCAATTCAACATACAAAGTTGTACAGGGCCTAGGGGGCATCCGCCCCCAATCAATTTTGTGTGTGTACTTTTGCATTCTAATTCCCAACCTTTAATTAAACTACAAATGAAAAAATAGATTACATTTCAGTTCTAAAGTCAGTTCTAATTAAACTATAAAAAAATGGTATAGTCGAAAAAAGATAAGGTGTATCCATTAGTTTACATACTTATGATATTAGCACTAATTCTTCCAATTGTTACTGCCACTGTTGAAAAAGCATTTTCGGCCATAAACTTTCTGAATCAATTGAGATTAAATGAAAGATCAATAGATGAATGATAACATGATTATTTTTATAGAGAGAGATTTGATGGTATTGGTAATGATGTTGTCATGCACCGCTTTCAAAACATGAAAACGCGTCGAAGAATATTGTAAGATGTTGTATGAAAAACTTTATGGATTAATATATAAGTGTTTTGTGCAGTAAATTCTTGAGTTTTTTTAATTTTACCTTGTTGTTTGATGATGCCCTCATTCTTACAAATTTATGGCTTCGTCCCTGCCTTCTCCCCTTTCTTCTCGCCAACACATCTTCAATTTGGATAAACAACACTATGAAGGCAACCGGCGACATCTTCAGTTTGGATAAACAGCACTGCTTTGAAACCGACTGGTTATTTATCCAAGTCTCGGTCGACAAAGATTTTTGAGTCCTTATTGGTAGAGGTCATCTCATCAGCTTTCTCGGCGAAGTGAGGTGTTACATGTTACCAGGCTCGGCAGATTGGACGCCGAGTTGTTTTATGATTGGATATTCACAAGTTAGTTTTAGAGTTCAGCATTTTGACGGTCGAACCACATTTCCCATCAAGACATACATCTCTTTCGAGTATTTGTGTCCGTATAGTCTGGTGCCTCGGCGTGCTTATACTCTCACGAATATAATCATCGTGACCGAACCCGGCGTCGACGATCCAGGAACTTTGCAGAACTAGTAGCTTTGTCTTCAAGCTCTAAAACCTGAAGGCCGATACGTATTCCTTCCTCAGTCACAGTTGCATGATCAATAAGTCAGCAGCGCTTAATGCAACATCAGCATATTTTAATCCTCGACCGAGCTTGGCCGATGAGTTGGCACGCCTTGCACATAACCGAATAACGTAGTTAGCTTATTAGTTACTCGGTTTGCGCGCCACGTACGTTTGGTAAATTTTAGGATCAACATAAGTATGTCGTGAATGCCTTTGTGCCATATATGTGTTAAAAAGGAAAACTTTTGGACATGACATTCATGATTTAAAGTTGTGCAACAATCGCATTGTTAAGTAATCATCGTAAACTACATGTTAGATAATAGGTGTTGAAAGCACTACTAGAAACATTTTCTTACAAAAAATTTGTAATCATCACTTTCTTTTTTCGAATGTGTTGATTTTATTTATTTAAAAAAAATGAAATCAGACTAAGTTATCCGATGACAAGCTATATGCTAATACCTTTTACCACCGTAGTAGAAAAATGTTGAATGCTTACATAACAGTACGAGTTCGAATTATGTTGGTGACTAATCTAATATTTAATTAATAAAATTATCATTTGTTAAAAAGAAATGACAAGCTATAATATACAAGTATTTAATTTCCAGTCTACAAATTTCGTATGCAACACCTTGAATAAATACCACCACAAAATTGTGCGACAAAAAGCATTAAATAATTTCAATATCAATTTCACTTAGAGTAGAAACGTTATTAGAATTAAACTAAGGGTAAATTACATAATACCCCATCAAATTTGGGTTCACTTACAACTTTATACATCTTTAAAACATTTCAATCTCATACATTTACTATTATTTTTTTCAATTTCATACAACCGTTAAAAAATCTGTTAAGTTAACCGTTAAATGATGACGTGACAAATATAAAATCTCTATTTATGCTGACGTGACTGCCACATTTGTGCCACGTGACTAAACACTTAATAAAAAATTTTAAATATTAAAATAATTAATTAAAGAAAAAAAAAACACAAATCTTCATCTTCTTCTTCCAGCCACCCCTTCTCCCACCACCACCACCACCCTTTTCCCCACCCGAGCCACCCTTCTACCATAACCACCCCATCACCCATCACTTCCGCACCAACAAAGCTTCTTCCTCCAGAACCACCACCATCAATTTCCTCATCAGCAAAGCCCGGAGCAACCCAGAAAACCCCAAGGGCTCACTATGAATTTTGCCCCACCTTCCTCACCACCTCAAACCCTTGCCTTGCCTCGATTTCTTCTTCCAAGTCGTGTCCTCACCTGCTACCCATTTCTTCCCCCCATCTGCAACCCAAACAACAACCAGCAACATGATCGAACAACAATCCCTGCCCCATAAAAAAAAAAAACCCATATTTGTTTTCAACACAAGAATCAACCAAAAAATATATATAAGATCTGAAACAGATTACCCATAAAAAAAAAAAAAAAAGAATGGAACCTATTTCCCCTCCCCCTCCCTTACAAACACCATTGCTGCCCTCCCACTTGATCCCGGCGACCTCCTCTATCTCTTTCTCTTCCTCATCCTCTCACTCTAACCTCGAATTGGCGTCGATCGGAACCGCGAGACGCAGCCAGCAACGAAATCGAAGGGACTTTGGGGATTTTGGTATTCGACTGGTCACTTGGAACGAAATCGAAGGGCAGCGAAATCTGGGTTTTGGGGATTTCGGCTTTAGGTTCAGTGCGGCTTCGTCGAACTCACCTTCGACGACTTCTGGACGACCTCTGCCTTCCGTCAGAGGCTTAGATCTCAGTGCGGCTTCGTCGAATTCGAGGTTGAGCTTTTGCTGGGACTTCTGGTCCTTAGAGGTATCGTTTGGTATGCAGACAGGACGGGACAGAACGGAACGGGACGGGAACAGGACGGGACGGAACGGAATGGAACGGGACAGGATGGAACGGAGCGGAAGCAAAGATGCCTCGGATGGAAACAAGAAGGAAGAAGAAGGAGACAGAGAGGTTATAATTTTGTCTTCCACTGACGTAGAACGAGTCGTTCCAGGAGGGTGAGGTGGAACGAAATTCATCCAAAACTCGTCCCGTGAAATAGCTCGTTCCATCCATTTTAGGCGCACCAAACGTGGAATGGAACGCCTTGTTCCACTGTGATCCGTCCCGTCCCACGTACCAAACGGTACCTGAGTGAACCAAGTGGAGACGGAAGAACATGAAGAAACGAATTTCTGGGTGTTTGAAACTTTTTTCTATTTTTTAATTATTCAACTATCTTTTCAAAATTTTAGTTGAATTTCTAATTAATTTTAAACATAATAAAATTTTAATTTTTTAATTCACATGTCCGACTTGCTTCAGCAGTTAACAGAAGAGCTATCAGGAAGGGACGGTTGTATGAAATTAAAAAATAATAATAATAAATGTACAAGGTTAAAATATTTTAAAAATATTGTATAAGATTGTAATTTGATCCAAATCTGAGAGGTATTATGTAATTTACCCTCAAACTCAATACCTGCTTTTCAATCTTGCCAATACCTAACAGAACACTGTAGTATATCTGACTCATGAATCAAAGAACATGTGTAAGTATGCAGAGCCCCCATCCATTGACCAGTACACGCGTCGAGCAACAGGGCTGCCACCTTATCGTCCCAAACAAGAAGCAACCCCAGAAAGCGGTGGCCCGATATAATACCACGACGGAAAACAAAATTTAACAGGGAAACAGAAAGAAAGAAAGAACAGAAAAGAGAGCAAACAGAGAACAATCAGAGCAGCGAAGATGGTAGTAATTTCCATGGCAAAAAATATCATCTTCAACCTCTCCAAGTCTTTCCCTCAAACCGGCTCATCACTCTCTCTCAGAAATTCCTCTCACAAAGTCTCGAGAGTCTGCTTCGCCTCCGCCTCCAAATCCTCCGAGGTAATTAGTTATTCAAGTACGTGATTAACAGTAATACTTGTCGACGAATGTAAGAATCTGACATCGAAAAGTTGATATATTTAATGAATGGTTCCACCCATGTTTTCACAAGGTATGTGCAAGTTAGGGATAACATCGGTGCATTTAGTAGTAGATAATTGGTCCGTCTCTCTAAAATTGTCTTGATGGATTCATAATTTAATTTGATCCGGTACACGCTTGAACTTCAGGGTCGAAATGCACCAGAAGGGAATAGAGATTCGAGGGCTGACTGGACATATGATGACAAGAAGTGGAGGAATGAGAACGTGAATTACAAAGGAAAGGATCCAACAGATGAACTCAAGGATAAGACGAAGAGCGCAGCGGAGACCATGGCGGAGAAGGCTAAAGAGGGAGTGAACAGAGCAGCGGAGACGGCAGAGAGCGCCAAGGAGAAAGCGAAACAGTACGGTTATGAAACAAGGGAGAAAACGAAAGAAATGGCCGACACTGCGGCTGCGAAGGCAAAAGATGGAACTTATGAGGTCGTGGAGACGGCGGAGCAGGCCAAGGAGAAGGCGAAAGGGAATGTTTGGAGTATGAAGGAGAAAACAGAGGACGTGGCAGAAACGGTGGCGGAGAAGGTGAAGGAGGGGACGAGCAAGGCAGCAGAGACGGCGAAGGACACAGTGAAGGGGGCGTGGGGGGCCGTAGAGGAGGCGGGGCATAAGATCAAGGAGACAGTGGTTGGGACTTCATCGGACTCTGACAATGAGGTGGCGGTGGAGGAGAATGTTGTGGGGGATTTGGATGACGCTGTGGAGGTGGTGGAAATATTCGATGAGGAGGGGAATGTTGTGGACGTTCTGGATGAGGATGTGGTGGTGGTTGAGATATTAGATGAGAAGGGGAATGTTGTGGATGTTAGGAGGCGGATTCGGAGCCCTGAAGATGATGTGAAGAAATAGTGATGTTTTGGCGAAGGAAACTTTGCTCAGTTGTTGCATTGCCTATCATGGAAGGAGTTGAAGCCTAATGTTTGGTACTTGTAGACTTGTAGTTAATAAATCAAAGGTGGCATGTTTGAAGTGGCATTAATGTTTTCATCTTTTTTTTTACTTTGCTTTTCAAATGTATATTTTACAACTTTGCCTTATTATTATTATTTTTTTAAGAAACGATATCTCAGATAGTGGATTAAGTCTCACAACGGATTAACAATAATGTGGTTAGCCTTCGTTCTTTGTTGTTAGCCTCACTAGCACTCTGAACCATCTGTTTTTTTGTGAGGTTACCTAGTGAGCATAGAACCTAAAACCTCTCATTTACTAGTTAAGAGAATACTGGCTCATTTAGTATTATTATTAAAGAACAATGTAGATATGGTTGGGCAGGGACTTTCAATTTTGTGAGATTAAGACAATGTGACGAAAGATGGATCACAAAAACCCAAATCAAGGGCCTTCGGATGAATTGAACAGTGTACCACTCGACCCAACAGAATTAATAGCCGGGCCCAAATTGAACCAGTCCGACAATGCCATCGAAATCAGAAATTGCAGTATGTTCGCATGGCATAAATACAAGTAACCTCGTCCCCACCACACCACGTAGAGAGAGAGAGAGAGCTTTGAGGAGGACGATGTGGAGTGAGGGAAGAGGACAACGGTATGAATGTGGGAGTGTGGGGGAGCAGTTGCAACCCCTGACGGACGCTACCATCACCAACTGGTCCATCTGCTAACTCCTCTTCTTCTTCTTCTTCTGCCGTCTGCCGTTACGTAACTACGTTGGTTAGGGCAGGGGTAAGTGCTTCTCTATCATCCTAATCCAATCTTATCAAGTATTATATTTGATTGGAGTTGGGATTCACGCTTTTAAGACATATTTAAAACGTGTTTACGTAGACTCACTTCGTAATATAATTACAAAAGTTTGAATATGTTTATTTTTTAGGTCTTCTTTAAAATATCATGTTTACAAAAAATCATGCAAATTTAAAACTATATGACCGTTAGAAATTAGAGTTTTGTGTTGTTTCTCTTTGCTACAAATAAAATGTCTTAATTGTTTGGAATTTATCTTTTTTTTTTTTTTTTTTTTTAATAAGAATGATTTGATGAATGATGTACTATAAACAGTTCAATTAGTTAAGTATGTTGCGAAATAACCCTACAAAATAACTAAATCAGTGTTAAGATGTGTGTCAAAAACATCTCTACACATATCAAATCCAAATTTCCATTTCACACACTCACACTTCAATCTATATTTTAGGCCTTGTAAATGTGAATTTCAGCAGTCAGCACCCATTTTCATAGCTTCAAACTGAATTGCCCAAATTGCCACTCCTTAGTCCTTATATATCAAGTAATTTCCATTACCAAACGTAAAGCTAATGAGTTAAAAAAAAAAAAAAACATAATGCTAATGAGACCATCTCCAATGCAATCTATATATTCTAATAATTGGATATTTATGAAGTACATGGTTATGGTGCTTCTTGCGTGTGCAATTTAGAATGAATTAGTGAAAAATCAATGCTCCGCATAAGATTTAAATCTTATATATAACTAAAATTTGAATATAAGTTTCGATTTGAATATAAACTTATATAGAGGTTTTTAACTTTCTGTTGCATAAATGTTACATATGGACTCACAGATAATATCTTAGTCCAAATTATTTGGTGCATAAGAGATGGCTTAACATACAAAACCCAATAAAATCTTAGTTTTGTTGTGGTAGATAAATCATTATCAACATAATCTCTTCCACATTGATACGTAATTAATTTTCAATCCTATTGCATAACACACTCGACGTTCCATCAACTCTAGTTACCAATCACCACCTGGCGTTATATTGTTGCGCATACATTTTTTAATCATCGAGAAAAGAGAGATTTGGTTCTTTAACACACACACTTTTGATCAAAGAGGCAGATTCGAATATATGTTAACGTGAATATCTTTGACGTTAACATTTTTAACGGTGACGGTTTTAGGTAAACGAGATAAGAGAGATGTGAGAATACTTTAACATGCGTTGACATTTTTTAGTGAGATTTAAATGTGAAGTTTTTATATGGAAACTATTGCTTTTTTTAGCATACACACATACATTTTTTTTCTTAAACGAGAAACATAGCAATGTTTTCATTCTTCTACACTTAAATTTAAATTTTTTTTATTTGTATTTTAGATAAATTTATTATAGACTATTGCTTGTATAAAAAAATATAGGTTACAACCAAATTCGAATTCTTCTGGACAAAGTTAGTTTGTTGAAGAATGACAAAGTACTTTGACTAATCCAATACTTGAGTAGTTTACAAGAAAATATGAGAGAGAGAGAGAGTCACCGTGGAAATGTTCTTATCAACGGGGACAGGATTGTCATTCTGAGTAGAATTGATGTCCAATTAGCACGGTGATGTCAGATAGAAGAGAAGAAATCCGTCCAACTAAAGAAATCCGTCCAACAAGAGTACAGATCCCCTCCGAATTAAAAAACAAATGAAACCCAATGATTAAATAATTCGAATAATTAAAATTTGATCGAATAATTATAATTATTATAATTTTTAAAAAAAAATTTTATTTATAATTATTGAATTAAATTTGAACGATGCATATCATTTAATCCTTGAGTTTTGTTTTCTTATATCCGGAGAAAATCTGTACTCTTCCAACAAAAACACCACAAAATAAAATTTTAAATAAGGAAATGGAAAATTGTTGTGAATACAAGACTCGAGAGTATGTATGATTGTAGTAGATAGGCAGAGGAGAGAGAAAGAGAGAGGAGAGAGAGAAGAAATAGTAGTTGCTGAAGTCTGAGCGTCTGACACAGCAGCTAAAAACCCATTGACGACCGCCACTAGCCAGTAGCCACCCTCTTCCGCCCTTACCCGCCGCCTCTGCAGGCTCTGGTCTCTCTTATTCCCCTGTTCCTGTGGTCCATCTCCTACCCCACACCTCCATATATCTAGAAACCGAATACAGTTAAAACTCTCATCTTTTTCTTCTCATAATATTTCTGTGTTTCTTTTTTTTTTTTTTTTTTGTTTGTTTTTGGTGATATTGATCATTGGGTCTGAAAACTTTAGCATTTCGGAACGGAAAGGCCGACTCTTTGGACCGTTTTCCGGTGAGGGCTGAATTTTTCTGTATTGGGTTTCCTGTATTTGATGGATCAAAAGCAAATGGACTGGGAATTTTTTATTAGTTCTAACTTTTTCTGAGCTGGGTTGGTGAGATAGATGCTGTTATGTGACGGAAAATCGTTTCCGGTATTGTCTCTAGCTCCCATAGATTACTACAACCTCTCCCTCTCTCTCCCTCCCTCTCCCTCTCCCTCTCCCCCTCTCCTTTTTCTGGGTTTTCTGCATATCCGCCACCGGTCCAAAATTCCAGAAAAAAAGAAGAAGCAAGTCAAACCGATTCGTCTCAAACTCTGACACCGTTTCTAGAAGGAGAAAAAGAAATCCTCGCGGATATCGCTCGAATTCAAGATCAGATTTTCCATAAATTTCAATTATCACTTGGGCTTTAATTGTTTCATTATTCAATGTGAATGATAAAATGAATGGCCTATGGGTTTGGATGTAACCCTGGTAGGTGGGTGGGAACAAGAAGGAAGGAACACCCGGCATGCAGAGAGAGAGCAATATAACGATAACGATCGCCGTTAGTTTTGGCAGTTTTGGGTGTCGAGAGTAGATTATCTAGGACTAGCGACGGACACGTTTAGCACACCCTCACAATGATCCAATTTCCTCCTATTTATAAACCTCTGCATGTCGCTTGAAGCCCCACATCAATCCATCAAACAATTTCAGACCATCACAAGAGAGAAATCAACATGCAGCAACAGCAGCAGGAGGGAGGTGAGCAGAAGGAGCAGCAGAACCAGGATCAGCGGTTGAAGGCGGCGGAGCAGCAGAACCAGCAGCCGCACAGGTGCCCGCGGTGCCAGTCCATGAACACCAAGTTCTGCTACTACAACAACTACAGCCTCTCTCAGCCACGGTACTTTTGCAAGGCGTGTAGGAGGTACTGGACTCAGGGCGGGACCCTCCGGAACATCCCCGTCGGCGGCGGATGCCGGAAGGGGAAGCGCGCCAAGGGGGGTTCCTCCTCGGCGTCAGCATCTCGGACCGTGCAGCCGCAGCCACCACAGAATGAGCAGGACATGCAGAACAATTTGGGAATTGGCGGCGGGTCCGTGGGGATGTCTACGGCGAACCCGAGCGGTGGATTGGCTATTCACCATCAGTACTACCCTGGTTCTTCTCATGGGTACTTGTCACCTTTTGCAGGGCTTCAATCTCTGAGTCAATCTCAGCCGTTCAATGCTGGGGGCGGTCATGATCCTGCCTCGAACATGAGCCTGCTGCAGGGGTTCAATCTCTCAGTTCCTATGGTGGCGTTGCAGCCGCAGCAACGTCAGCAGTTTTTTCAGATGGGCGGCGCTAGGAGCAATAATCTGTTGGATCAAGCTGCTGTGTACCCATCTGAGCATGATCAGTGGGCCCCCCAAAGCGTCGTCAACAGATCATCTGTGAATACTTCTTCTTCTGCAGCAGCAGCCTCGGACAGCGCTTTGTGGACCATGGGCAATAACAACCCCATCACCACCACCACCACCACCACCACTGCCAGCAGCAGCAGCGGCGGCCCATCTCTGAACCCAAAGCAGTGGCCTGATCTGCCCGGATCATATGGCTCTCCTAATTGAGAGACTTTTAAGGCATGCGTATGATCGTATCCCTACAAAGCATGCAAATTAATCATATATTTACTTTTGTATACCGAAGGGAGATTACCATATGGATCTCAAAGTGTCACCCATTAATTTTCAGTTCTTATAATTATTTACTAAATTGGTTAATTGTACTTGGTGGTTAAGGTATGTATGATCTTTGTGTCTCATGGAACAAAACTATAATTTTGTTGTAAATGAAAGGATAATATTTGGGTCATAAGCATATATAGCCTTTTGTTCAATTCCATGAGTTGGGTTATTTAGGTGGTGGTATTTTGAACTTGAAATTCATCGAAAGCTATTGAGCTAAATATTTGTGCTTTTGTTTTTGGTATTTTATGCCTTTATTGTCTGCTCTCGTACTCCAAAATTAACACTATCTATATCATATTTGTTGACCACGTTGTTGAAGATTGACCTAATAACACAAGTGCATTCCAATTGTACGTGGGATTTAGATAAGTGCATTCCAATTGTACATGGGACTCGTCATAGAAAAATGGTCAGTATGTGATTAGTCACCATATTTAATGAACACATTGTTGAAGACAGATCTAAATAACAGAGATGATGTGTTCAACTCGTGTATGCATGTATGCAGAACTCATACCGGTTATGTGTCAATATCTAATCAATTATCTGTACCATATTTACTAGTCGCACTATTGAAGACGTGTAATAAAAATAAGTGAGTTTGACTTATTTATGCGGGACTTGTACTAGATAAATGATGAGTATCTGATCAGTTATTTATACATTATATATATTTACTGACTACGTTGTTGAAGACTGATTTAATAAATAGAGTTTAATTCTATCTACGTATAAATAGGCAATTAGTAATGTGATCACTAAATGTTAAAGTTGTGTGAAATTATGTCAAACTGATGACTTGTACTTCATTCAAGGTCTTGAAGGAAAAGGTGAAAAGCAAGAAGACAGTACTTGAACAGAAAGCTAGATGCAAGCACAGAGGAAGGTTTAGCTACATGTGTAGAAAAGTTGACGAACAAGAGTCATATGGATAGGTCTTGTTGCATGTGGTGGTTGACTGCAAATGCTTTTGATGAAGGATGAATCACCTGAGACAGACTTCCAAATTGCTGTACGATATCTTTTATATTTTTGGTAAGTTTGCTTTATGATTTATTATTGCACTTGGCAGGTTAAAGCCTGCCCACTACAGCTACAAGCTCTCTTTATTTGCTTTAATTTTTGTAAAAAAAAAAATACTAATAATTCATATCAATGAATAAGTATTGGAAGAGAATGTGTCGTCTGCAAATGCAGGCATAGCTGTGGGAGACCATTGTGTTGATTGTAATCGGGTGTGTGATATAATCTTCGTAGGATATATATTTTAAAATTTAAACGCATCTGATAACAAAATAATATGGTTGTATTGCTCACCACTATTTGAGTGTGGTGAGCTTAAATACCTCGTTAGAGATATAAGTTACTTGTCTACATATGCTATTGTGATATGTGATATTTTGTACGAATCACACGATACCATCTAATCGCACTATTAGGCCCCTGAATTTGTGACGCCATGATGGAGTATCAGGTGTAGATAAGTCTCTCTTCACAGATTTACAACATGTCAAATGAATTCTAGATTAGAGCCTAAAGGAAGGGAGAAAAAGCCGGCATGGTTTGATTCCATTTGAAACAACACCGTCCACGTTCTATCGGACAGTGAATCCAATTCCATCAGTGAATCCAACTCTGCAAGGACCACCACCGGCACAGTTAATTAGCACTACATTTATTAATTAATTATTTCATAAACAATCATGTATTAGGACTTGCAATCGCATGATGAATTAACATATAATAATCAATGCATTAAGACTGAAAGCAAAGATCCATGTGGGATTAGGAGGGATTATTCTACAAATACAGAATGTTGTGAGTGTGAAAGTAAACGAGTCTCGTATTTGTGGTTTGTAAGATTTCTCCTTTCATTGATGTTTTCTTCTTTTATTGATGTTAAACTCTTTTACCTTCATATTCTTACATACTCCTCATGTGTGGTAAAATTTTAAAGCAAACATGTGGCGTGAATTGAGTGACATGAAGAACGTGTAACTGTCGAACTTTACATATGAGTCAACCTACTCTGATACCATAAAAAAAAATTGAGATTCCATAAAAGGCTAAATAGCAATATAAAAAATAGTAAAACTTTAAAAGAGTTTAAAGTTTATCTTTCAATCAACGTGAGACTCTTTGTCGGTAGGGAGGGCGTGAAGGTGGGCATTGTGGTTTCGGACTAAAAGCAAATCTGTGGTCTGCCCCAGAGAGATCTCTGTCGCACAACAAAAAAGGGAAAACCCGATTTTCTATTTTATAGCAAGTGACTCAAAATTTCTTGCTTAAACCATAAACTCTAAAAGTGAATACTATTTAAATTTTCAAAGCAAGTTTGAGTGGAAATTGTTGAGACATGTAGACCGTAGTATATCTTATTTTGTATCGTTGCTGAGAGTATAAAATTTATGTCAAGAAAAGAATGAAAATAGCATTTATTTATAAATATTGGGCTATTTTCTATATGTTTTTAATTAATTTTAGGGAGTTTTAACGAAACATTTTGGTACTGTTCACTTTTAACGAAAAACCATATTTTTACATTTTCTTAATACTATTCACTGCACCTTTATTTTTCATTTTTCATTAAAACTAAAGTTTTTTTTGGATTTTTTGTTAGTTTTCCTTTAATTTTATGGTAGAATCTCAATTTCTACAATTATAATAAGCTTAAGCTATGAAATAATTTTTACTGCAAACATTACAAGTTTCATCAAGTTTCATTTGAATTTGCTTTTGAGAAAGGCTGAATATCAATAAACAATTTTCCAGTTTTGTGATTAAATTTTGATGTATATTGGCTTACTATTTCTTTAAGAGTAAAATCTGCAATGGATAGTTTGTTAATTGGAATTTAAATATTGGCCTTAACTAGTAGAATCTTAGGTGCATATTATGCTTGTAATTGCTACCTTATCTTTGCTTATGTAGTGTTAGAGTAGTACCCACGTATTAAAGACTTAAACTTAGTGGAATTGTCTTTTTTTCCAGCATCATTAACTAATCCCAAGTACAAATATTACATGATAATTGAATTATCGATGTAAATGCTACATAGTTAGTTAGTTCTTATCCTTTAGAGCCTACAAGTGTAAAAGGAGCATCCATCCAAAAAGAATCATGTCACATCCCAGTTTAGCTCCGTCGTAGTACGATATTGTCCGCTTTGGGTCCTGGCCACGCCTTCACGGTTTTGTTTTTGGGAACTCATACGAGAACTTCCTAGTGGGTCACCCATCCTAGGATTGCTCTCGCCCGAACTCACTTAACTTCGGAGTTCCGATGGAATCCGAAGCCAGTGAGTTTCCAAAAGGCCTCGTGCTATGGGAGGTGAGCATGTACATATAAGGCACATCAACCCTTCGACGTTGGTCGATGTGGGATGTTATTTTAGTGCCAGAGGTTTCGTGATGACAAGGATGGTTGGCAAAAGCTGTTATGTAGGAGACTTCTCCTTTCAGTACAATTATCATTACTCTTATTTTACAGCAAATTTATCTATGCTCTGACATCACTTGTGTGATATGGGTTCAATCCCCGCTCGCATGCGCACTTTAAATTAGTCACTTTTAGGTTTTAATTTATTCACATTTTCCACATCACTACACTTTATGGCTTCGTCACCTTTCAGGTGTCGCCCAACACATCGCGATTCAAGTGTCTAGGTGGACATTCTGGGTTGGGGTGTGTCAGTTTGGTATCAGAGCCAGGTTGCCGTTCGGTGCGAGTGTGCCAACGAGGATGTCGGGTCCCTAAAGGTGGTGTATTGTAACATCCCACATCGACCAACAGAGAGGAGGTGATGTGCCTTATATGTACATCACCCTAAGATGATCATCTCATGTCTATTTATTGTGTCGAAACAAAGTAAAATATGCTCTTGGAGTTTTGATGTGGAATAAATGAAAAATGGATTAAAGAATGACAAGCCACTGCAATTTGTATATGATGAGGATGTTACCAATAACTTAAAATCAGTATTCGAATATCTCCAACATAATAAAAAAATAAAGAAATAGGTAAATATTCCTTTGAAGTCCATCACTATCTTAGCCAAAAACTATTCGTTGGAAAAAAAATCCAGTCCCCACATCCATCCATTCTAAATTGAACAGTAAAGCACATTGGAGGTCGCCATCTTCGGTTGCTTGTGCCCCAAGAGACTTCTATAAATAATGGGAATGATTGAGTATTTCAACCTAAAGGGTCTGGCTTGAAACTGGAAAGGGCATGATGGTAAATACAACTTTCGGGACAAAGTATGATGAGAGTACTACTGCATTAGTGGGGAAACTTCCACCACCCTTTGCATGGAGGAACAACCCAGTGTCTAGCTTTAGCTCCACATCGAACATTTACATATGATTTTGATGTGTGATGTATATATTTCTATAAGAACAGTTCCATCGGACACAAAATTGTCCAGGACCTTGTCCAAAAATCAACCCAACACCCTATTAATCTGCTCCAGCTCGCAAAACAGCCTGGCACCCAGCCCAAGCCAGGCAACAGACCAGCCCATTTTGGACAGACCCAGAGGCCAGCCTATTTGGCTAGCGCGTGCAGCACACTCGCGACTGGCATGAGTAGGAGACAAGGGTGCAGGCGGCAGGGCCCGCTTGTCAGCCCACTTGTGTTCACCCGGATTAGAGCTAAGTGGCCCTCCTCAGTGCCGTTGGATTTCCAACAGTAAAAAAAATTTTAATTTGACTTTTAAAATGGACCGTCCGATCACAGATCAACGGTTCACGTTTTTTTTCACCAAAAATAAAAATAAAATAAATAAAAAAGGCCCAACGGTTAGAATTATGACCGTTGGCCACGTGGCAGTGCCTTGGCTCTTGGATTTGAATATTTTTCAAATCCAACGGTCCAGATTAATTAACTATATTAAAATTTATTAAAAATTATGAAAAAATACAGAAAATTTATTAAAAAAGACATAATTTTTTTAAAAAAGTTATTTTTTTTTCTATAAATACCTAACCCTCATCTTCTATAGACTGAAAAAGAAAAACACTTCGCAAAATGTCAAGAGGGGTGTAGGAAGGATGTGGAGCGTTGTTTTGGTATTCTGCAAGCTCGTTGGGCGATTGTCAGGTTTGTTGCTAGAATGTTTGATGTTGAGGCTCTTCGATCCATCATGATGACGTGTATTATTCTCCACAACATGATTGTGGAAGATGAGTATGATTATGATGCCGTCGATGAATATGAGCCGAATCTGATGAACAACTCAAGAACACGTATCTACTGTGCTCATGATCGGACCGAAGATCCCATGCAACACGAGCCGTTAGAACCGGATGGATGTTACAATGAATTGATCGCTCAACGGTACACTAATGTGCAAGAGCCATACTGGCACGTAACCCGCTAGAATGACTTGATTGAGCACCACAGGGGTTTGCAAGAAGGATAATTAAAATAAGCTTGTGGTTGAAGAATAAAGTGTATTTGATGAGTTTATGTAATTTTATTTTAGTGTGTTTTTTTTTAAGTTTATTTGATGAGTATGTAATTTTATTTTAGTTTGTTTTTTTTAAGTTTATTTGAAATTTTATCCGAATTGGTTAAAAATCTTATCCGAAAATAAAACTATTTTATTTATTTATTTATTCTTTAAAAAAAATATAAAATATTTTAAATGGGCTGGGTGCTAGCGCATTTTGTAGGGGTGGAGATCGTTTGTGCCATCACATTTTTAGACTGGGTGCCAGCGTATTTTTTTAGGGGTGGTGATGCTTTGACCTATTACTGTTTACTGGGATCTATTACTGTTCACTTGAATGGATAAATGCGCTGGGTGCTGACGCAAAGTCTTTAAGGGTGAAACTGTTCTAAGATCGAAGTATGCATAAGTGGTGGTGACCAACTTGGCCAAAATACAAAAACTCCGGTGGAAATTAAGTGGACTTTCCATCAAATTAACATCCCGTCGATGTGGGACTCAAAGCCCCAATGCACCATCATTTGGTCAAGCTTGCTGGTGTCTTGTGGTTCATTAGACGGTTTTGTGGATTAGCTAGCCACTTAAACCATATGATCGTTTGAGACAATTACGTGTGCTAATCTAGGACAATAGTGTGTGTGCATAATTATATTAAGGAGTTCATTTGTAATTAGATTTTCAATCAAAATGGTTAGAAAGTAAATATGTATCCTCATTCCTCAGCC